TATAATTTCATTTCTCTGGTTCAATAACTGGCTTGTATTTTTTGTACTTAATTATTTTAAAAATTTTTTTCTTCCAGGCATAGTTTGCATCTGTTTTTTATATATATATATATATATATATATATATATATATATATATATATATGAATTAAGATCAAATATAGATAGGGATGCAAGTTTAATGATAGGATAAGGGACAAATAGGAAATCTTTATAAATCTGACATGCTTTGCTTTTATTAACACTTGAGATGTGGAGGTTTATTTTCCACGAGGGTCGACCAGATGAAGGTGAGAGGGGGAGCACGTCGCTCTACCCTGGAGCCAAGTTGCTTGGTGGAAGAAATCGGCTGTATTTATGTAGGCTGCGGTTAGCATCGTAGCCGGTTGGCAATATCTTTTGGTCGATGACTAAAAATTAACTTCCGCATTTTGACTGTACACATGGGTTTCATTTGGATACCATGTGTATTTAAAGTAGTTTCTGGTTATTATTTTTAGTTTGGAGGACTTGTGTATGTTTGTTTCATTTGTTTTACTTTTTGTGTATCGTTCTCTGAAAAAAAAAATGCTGAGTCACCGGAAGTTAACGGCATTCGGACATTTGAGTAGCCAGCAGTAACTTCCGGCTGTGTGCGATACCCTTACCCATGCTTTCAAATTGATTTTGTGCAAAAACAATTGTTTTTTTTCTAATTTTTGGCACTGTCAGAACCACCACTGGGTAATTTTATGTAATCCTGTGAAGTTTTGTTGAAATTAGTTGAAAAATGTAGGAAATACGATCCTATATATAAACGAACAGACACACACACACACACACACACACACACACACACACACACACACACACAATCTGCGTTTTATAATAAGTAAGATTTTTCTTTAAGGAAGGTATTTTATGCCATTAAATATGAGTAGGTGTTGAAAAGTTCTTGGCTTTGATCTACTTTCCAAAAGTAGTATTTCAACAAATCAAACATCAGAATTCTAGGGAGTTAGTCAACCTCTCTGAAGACATATGCCAAAGATGCATTCCAAAAGCTAAGCAGAATGTTAAAAGTATTAAGACAAAAAATTTCATTAGAAGCAAAGAAAAGAGTACTGGACTGTTAGGTGATATCTGTCCTCTTGCATGGCAACAAATGAGGGACAATCTCCGCAAAGATGAAGAAGAGACTTGAAGCAACAGAAAGGTGGTTCTACAGAAAGATGTTGAGGATACCATGAACTGAACATGTGAGCAACAACAAGGTTTTGGAGAAAATGGAAACAAAAAGGAAACTTATACTTATCAGGAAGAGGTAGTTAAAATTTCTGGGGCACATAATGAGGAAGGAAGGCTTGGAAAATTTGATACTCACAGGACATATTGAGGGACAGAGGAAAGCAGCATGTAAAATATTTGATGTGCTTGAGCAAATGGATGGTAGAACAGGTTTTGGGAGAAATAACAAAAAGACAAAACTTATTAAGAGCTACAAGGGAGAGCCATGATTGTCCTACATCCTGAAGAGACACTGCACATAAAAGAAGTCAACTTGAGAACTTTTCATCAGCCCCTTGTAGATCTTGCTAAGATATGTTTAGAAATATCTTTATTGAAGTGTATGCACAAAAGAAATTGTAAAAATATATACTTGAATATAACAGGTTTTTTAATGTTTTTTTTTTTTCTAAGTTCTGTGCTAACAACCACATCATGTTGAAACACCAGTTTCTGTACAATCATCAAAGTTAAGCAATGTTGAGCATGGTCAGTAACTAGATGGGTAACCGCTGGGGAATACCAGGTGCTGTAAGCTTAGATGTGCGGGTGATGTAATGGATAATGGCTTGGAATTGTTAATTGGAGAGCCAAGTTCCAATTTCAATTGAGTTATAATCATTTACGCACAAATACCTTTTAGGAAATGTATGAATCTATCTCTTCTGCCCCCAGCTATGGGTTAATTAGTAAAACTTGTATCACTAAAACAATTATCTCCAAAAAATAAAATTGCATACAAAATATTTAAATTTTGGCATTAAATAACTCAAAGATTGATATGTTGCTAAACAAAAACAAGCAGCCAAGTGTCTCTTTTCTGGCTTCCTGCTAACCAGTCAATTTTGATCTTCAAAAATTTAAATGCAATGTCAATCATTATCTTCCATCTTAATTCTTGTTCTTTTATTGTTCTCTCTCCTTAATAGTTTCTTTTTCTTGTATTCTCTTGCACTCAGTAACCTTTTGCATTTTAGTGGCTTTGTTGCCTTGCTTGTGAAATGATTAAAAAAAAGATATAGATAATATTTTTTAAGGTGAAATATTTTATTTTTATAGTATGAGTGGGTGCTGGAAAAGTTTCTGGAAACAATTTCATATATTGTCTGTTAAATAGGTTATGGTTGTTTTATAAGATAGGGGTTATCATAAGAAGCAAATTTATTAGATGAAGGATAATAATATTTAACTAGCTGGATTAATGGAAATTTCATGGTAGTTGTTAACTACACTATTATAAATTTCATGCATTTTTGCATTTATTAACAAAATAGAGTTAATAAATACATATTAAATGTAAAGTTACACTCATAAAAATTAATAAAAAGAAATAGGTTGGAAAGAATAGAAAGATATTCAGACATAACATTTTTGAAACACTTTCTCTAGTGTCAGGTGAGTAAAGGTTATTTGAATCCAGTCTTATTTAACAAGCATAAAGGTTGCACATACAGATACAATAATGATAATTTGGGATCAAATATGGATTGGAATCTGACAGAATGATAAAATAAGGAACAAATAGAAAATGTTTATAAATCTAACATGTTTTGCTTTTATTAAAACTTCATCGGAGAATGAGATGTGGAGAAAAAGGTGAAAAAGTCTGGTATTTTTAATTTTTGTGTTTGTATGTCATTGGTTAAGTGAACTTCATTTGCATCTGTCTTGTCAAGCAGTGTTTGTGTGTAAGCGTATCATAATTCTAGTTTGTCTATGTGGAATTTGATTGATGTATATTTGTGTGTGTCTTTGTTTGGTGATTATCTTCATGTTACTTTGGGGACATTTTATGTGAGGTTCAAAAAATTTATTTAACACCATTTATTGTAATAGGTAGACATATCTTAGATTCTTTAGATAGAAGAGCATTTATATAGAGTATTCCTTTCATCTTATTTCTGTTGCTTTTTATTTAAATTTTCATCTTGTCATTCCTTGATCTATAGTAATGTTGTAGCATACCTATGGATGAAAATTGGTATGTTCCCATAACTACAGTAGTAAATACTATATGTTGGTCTAGAGTTGGAGATTCATTGTAGAATTCACTTGACTCACTTCTAGCAGTTGATTACTTTTACATGCTGCTGGTGAATCTTATATGTCTTGTTCTTGTCCTAAGTATTATTGTTCATTACCAACCTTTGTTTGATTATTCTATTCAGTAACCTTCCTTAGGTTACAACAAGTAAGCAATGTGGATTGAAAATAAAGGATAAGAATCCTCTACTGTTATTTCTTATCTGTACTGCATGTTCAGTAATCATGTGATGACCTAAAAGTTACAATAAAAGAAACATTAAAATAAGAAATACTAGTAAAATATAAAGGAAACAACTGTTATACAACCATTCCCTAATAGTTGTCATATAGACAGATTTTTCTTTTCAATACCAGTAATACTTAGTAAAGGTTATGTTCATATATCTCAGCAACACTTTCCATTTGATAGGTTTAAATCTGACAGTAATTATTTAACATAAATTTCTTAAAATGAATAGTTCAAAGGTAAGCAAAAATAAAAATATTTATATATTTTAGTAAATAATATCGATCATTGAGGTAGGGTATTTACAAAAATGTTAGGCAGGATATATTGTCAAATGGAGATAATTCTTAAAAAATGAATAAAGAAAAAAAACAGACCAACTTTGACATGAAAATTGGATACTAAACAACATCAAATGTAAACCTGATTATAATTTAAATACCAAAATTGTTAAAAATATTTAAATATTCTTAACATTGATGGTAATGTTTAAAATAATTTTAATCTGGTAATAATAAAGTAGTTTTAACAGGGAAAAAAATCCAAAGAATCTGCAATATTATTCGTCCTGACCTGGCATCTCAGCTTCAGTTACATTCCCACACCCATAACAATAAATTCTTTTTAAAATACTGGGGTCATTGAACTGTAGTGTGCTTTTCCATTTATGATTAGTATATACAATTTTAATTTAATAATATCACTTGACCATTGCAAATTGATACATCATTTTAAAAGATTTAAAGTTTATAAATTATTCTAATTAAAATTAAAAAAAAAAATTCTTATAAATATTCATTATTCATTGGGGGAAAAAATTAGACACTAGTATCCATAACATATTTTAATCATAAAAGCAATTAAAAACTTTTCAAATTAAATATCTTAGTTTTATTTCTTTTTTTTCTTTTTTTATTTTAAGATTTTCTCTAACTGGGAGTGCTATTCAACCAAAAAAAAGAAAAAAATTATGATTTAAACTTTAAGGTGGGATAGTTTTAGCTGAAACACTAGCCACAATATCTTGGAAACATTTGTGCCTATCTTCACCATAAGGCAGATTCCTTTTAGGCTGGTAATTGTCTCATGGAGTCTGTTAAGTTAGTAATGGTTGATGAGAAAGAAAGAGCTGATTTTAAAATGTTAATTTGATACCAATGTGTCAGTAATAAAAGTAATCCTTTGCTATTACTGAGTTTAATTAAGGGTTGATAATCACAAAGCACAAAGTTCTCTTGATTCTGATCTAAATGTTTGTTATACAATTACAAGTTCAAGTCAAAATTTTATTATATTACACTGAATTTTAGTGTTTTTTTGGTTTGCTTTTTATTAAATTTAATTTTTTTCTTTCTTTCTCTCACTCTAAGAGTTTTTTCTTTCAGTCCTCTTCCTATTCTTTCTCTTTAATAAATAAATAACATTTTAAAATAATTTCAATTTTTAATTTTTTTTATTTCAGTTAATTTACATGATGTCTTTGAGACTTCAACTTTCATTTTTCTTGTATTTGAACTGTAAGTATTGATTTTTATTTATATTTTATACAATTTTTAAAGAATTTAAATTTAATTTAAATTTAATACATTGTTATTCTTATATATTTTTTAATATGAAAATATTTATAAAAAAGCAAGCTGTTATGTGGGGTTGTAGCACTTGTTAGTGTCCCAGCTATAGGCTGGGGTCAAAACACTATGAAAGTATAAAAATAGATTTTTATAGTGAAAATACCAGCAATATATTTTTGAAAAGTGCTCCATCTTGAGCTTTTGACAAAATCCAAAGAAGGATCAGCAATGTAATTGACCTTGATCAGACATTTTGACTTCACTTTCTTCCCGATGTGGGATCGTTTCCCTCTGTCTTTTCTAGAAATATTTCCATGGAAACTGCTCTGACGAGCATTTTTTTCAGGTGTCCAGACTACATGAATTTAAGCATGCTACTAGATTGGCATCTAGATCCCACCTATTAGAAATAACTAACACTTCTACTCCAACAGTTTCTTTTCTCGCTCTTCCTCCCTATGGAACTCTCTTCCATTTACTTACTTCCCTGATAACTATAAAAATTTAAATGCAACATCAATCGCCATCTTATATCTCCTGGAATTCCGCTTGTCTTTTGTCCTTTCCTCATTCTGCCTTATAGTCAGTCTTCCTTTTCACTTTCTCTTCCTGTAATCCCCTGTTTAATAGTGTCATATTAAATGATTAAATGGAATGATTATAAAAAAAAAAAAAAGAAATTAAGAGAGGAATTGTGTTAAACCCAAGTACATGCCATTGGGAGATGATCAGCATTAGAAATACCTTTCACTGTAGCAACTACCCTGCAGGCATAACATCATCTAAGAATTAAGGACACATCAACTCTGTCATGGTCTGTCTACCATATATAAGGGATATATCAGAAGGGAGAGGATCTACAGTCTGTGCTATACCAGGATGATATTCAAAAGCAGTTCAACCTTTGAAAGGACTGAACAATTGGTTTGGTTCCAAATGCCAAGAAGATAGCAAACCACCCTCATTCCCTTCCAATTTTATTGATGGGATGTAAGTTCCACTTGAGTAGCTTCTTCCTACAAACTGCTGCTTTGTGGAACTAACTCCCAAGAGGATGCTTCCCCAGTCACTAAAATCTTAACCTGTTCAAGTTTTGGGTTAGCAATTATCTTTCCTGCATATCCTCATAAACTGTGATCCTTACCTGTTACTGTTACTCTCTACCTCGAGTGGCTCTTAAGCCTTGCACAAGGTGAACATTCATCAAAAAAATCATCTGTGGTAAACAAGAGTATAATCATATGAATGAAACAAGAAAAAGTGAGAAATGAACTCTAAGTGTTACTAAGAAGGATTATTTAGACAGCAAATGTTGTTGGTTGGTAAATTATGTACTTGTAAAATTTTTTTGTAAAAGATGTTTTTATTTTTCTATAGATTGTATTTTGGTATGTATAAAATAGAAAGAAAAAACACTTGGAGAAAATAAAAAAAAAATAAAAATGAAGAAAAAATAAAAATGGTGTAAAAGGTATAAGGAAAAAGTAGAACGACATAAACAGAAAAAGGAAGAAAGTAGGATGTAAAAAGAATATAAAAGCTAACAAGAAAGAATATAGTAGAAGGAAAAGAGATAGAATAAAGAAATAAGTCAGAAAGAAAGAAAGAAATGCCTGAAAAAAAACCTGGTGGGCACAACAATATAATAAACTTGTTATATAAAAATAAAATGTTGCTGCCGACACTTGAGTTTGAACATAGATCGCCAGTGAGCAAACACAGGCGATCTCATTATTGAATTAAGTAGACCATGTGACCATAGAGAAAACGCATAAGTAGTAATTAGCTTTATGTCTAATTGATCGCCATTTCTAGTTTATCCTCTATTACTATTTGGATCGCTATTTCTATTCTATCCTCTATTACTATACAGACTGCTATTCTCTATATTATTTACTATAATATTTCTCTATTTGGATCACTATCTGGATTACTATTTGAGTGAGTATTATTGAGCAAGTACTATTAGTGCAAGTGATATTCGAAGGCGTCTGACACTAGTATTGTTCAATGGCGTACTATAGTTATATCTGCGATTACAAAAGTGACAATGACTATTCATTGACAGTACAAAAGTGGCAATGAGTGCTTGTTGACATCACAAAAAAACTAAATTAGTTTCCTAGTCTAAATGTAAAGATTGATCAATTTGTTTTTTATAGTTTATAAAACCCTTTGTAGGTTATTTAAAGCCACAAAATATTTTTAGATTGTAAGAATTTTTATTTTAGTTTTTGTCTTTGAGATAATGATGATTTAGTGATACAGGTTTTTCTAATTAACCAATAGCTGGGTGATAAGAGGTGGATTCCTACCTTTCCTGAGGGTATTTTCATGTAACTGAATCTAACTAACCTAACAGGAATTGGAACTCTGCTCTCCAAATTAACAATCCTGAGCCATTATCAATTACATCACCCACACATCCAAGCTTGCAGCACCTGGTATTTCCATCTAGGTACTGACCAGATTTGACATTGCTTAACTTGCTGATCATTTAGGAAAAATTTCAACATTTGTATGTAAAAAGTGTCATATTTCATTTTAATAAAATGTTTAAAAGATTGTGTGAGGTAAAGGACATTCAGTTAATCTTTCTAGTTTAATAAGACAGGTCAGTTTTTATTAGCATAAAATGAAACTTTTTCCCTTGTAAACTACAGGTTATAAACATTTTTATGAATTAAAAACACAATAAAAGTGATTAATTTTCTTCAAGAAAAATTTTCAATCAATTGTTTAAGTCTAAACCTAACTGGATTTTTTTTTTTTTTTTTTTTTTAATAAATTTCAACCCAAGCAAGGCAGTAAAGCCACTAAGACACAATGGGGTTACAGGGTGTGGAAAAATTAGGAACAGAAACATTAATAATGAGTGGGAAGAAGAAAGAATAATCAAGAGGACAGTAGATAGTGATTGACATTGCACTTAAATTTTTGAAGATTAAAGTCAGCTGGAGAGCATGGAGTTGGAAAGGAGTTCAACAAGTGAGAAGTGCGAGAAAAGAAACTATTAGAATAGAATTTACAGTTACATTTAGACATTTTGATGCTTAAATTCAAAAAGTCTAGTTACCATAGTGAAAAGCTCATCCGAACAATTACCATGAAAGTATTTATAGAAAATTCTCAGAGGCAAACTTACAGTGGTGGGAAAGTGACTGAAGCTGAATTAAATTTTTCATTAAATTATTTTTAATGGAAAATGAAAGGAACAAAATACACTTAAAGAATGTTGTGTATTGTTGACAAGAATCATATAAGTGACTTCCTAATAGTACTTTGAAAAAAGTCTGTGATACTTACACAGTTCAAAACAATACTTATACTATTTGGTAGAATTTGTAATTACTAATTCACTACCTTGACCTATAGTCATCAATTTAATTTTATCTTGGTAGTTTTGTACTTCCTACTTAAGTACAAAGTACTGAATGTTATTTACTAACACCATTTTAAAAAAAAATTTTATTCTACATCTGAATTTTTAGTTTTCTTTTTTTTTTTAATTTGTTTTTTAAACTCTTAGTACTTTTGGTCAAACTGAAGGAAAACAAAAATGGTTAAACATGATCAGACGGATTATATATAGCCTTTTAGTTTTAATATATAAATGTTCTGAAAGTGGGACACAGTAAAAGAAAATTACATCATCATCTTTTAGATGTTCCTGTTGTAAATTTAGACATTTTTGGAAGTTTGGTAGTATAAAAAGTCTATACTGGTTTTTATTAGGTTGGGCAAAAAGTTAATTTGGTTATTTATTGAAAAATAAGACAGTTTTGTACCACTACTTTCTGATAACATTCATGCTACAAGTGCCAGTATGATTAAATTATTTCCTTCAGTAGCTCTCTCACTATCTGGAGAATGGTGTCTATTTGGTACAGCATGCTTATTAATTTTCAAATAATTTTCTCTATGTCACAATTATTTTGCTTCAGAAATAAAAATTCCCAGCTTATTTTATAAGTTGAAAAATTACTTATTCCAGACAGTACTTGTATTTATTGCAAAATAATACTTCATCATTTCATTTTATCAGAATGTTTATTTTTCTGTGCAAAAATTTTTTTTTTACTCTTAATGTCAAAAGTTGACATAAGCAAACAAAGGCATTTTTTTATTGAGTAATTTTAACTTTTTTGTTACAATATTTTCATTAAATTTGGATTGATTTTATTTTAAAGACAATTTGTATAATTTTTAATTATCCTGTATTAAATATTTGAAAATTATATATTTAAATATTTTCAAACAATTTAAAATTTTATGTATTATTATTTTTTAAGAACTATTTAAAAATATACTTGTGAAATTTTTAAAATTGTTTTAATGTTTTGAAAAAATGATTTTTTTAAAAATAACCCCCAACCATGCAGAAATATTTGATTGTATTTAGTTTGAGCAATCCTATTCTAAGTTTGTGCATAACATATATGCAAAATCTTATTTGTTTGTTTGCATCTGTGTGTGAAAATGATAGTGTCATGCTTAACTTTTAGCACACTGCATTATTAATATTACTTCTCTTTCTACTGTATTCTTTTCCAAGGCTTTTCAATTGCATTATCCTTATTGTTTCACTCAAAGTTGTTTTCTGTTGCCATAGCAGGATATGACAACACATGAAATTCAACACACTATTGTTCAGGGATCAGTCATCTTCAGTGACAGGATAAACTTTTTGTACAGAATGTGAGGTCACATACAGTGATGAAGGTTAATCCATCTTCAAATATAGGTAGTACAGATGTGACTTTTTAGTTTTGCTAGGGTCTTACATTTTTGTGTGCAGGCGTGGCAACATTATGTATCTTTTGTGGTAGTTGTTACATAAATGCTGCATAACAAATAATAAATGATTTCATTCTGTGTGTGGGGCCTTTGATGATTTTTGAGGCCTGCCCTACTTAGACATGACTACATTCATTACATGTTAGACCTTACATTCTTGTCTGTGATTTTAAGACTTCTCTCTGGTATGGTTGTTAATATATTTCTGTCATGCAGCTTGTTCCCACACTTACAAAAGTGGTGAAGCTGTGAGGACATATGATTCTGCATTCAGTGCACTTGACTCCCTTGATGGTCTGGTGTGACATTGAGTGCAAATTCTGTTCTGGAATGAGACTACACATGTTAATATTGCTGTGTTACTTTCTTAAATGAATCAATATAAAATTTAGGATTGTTTGTGTTTTTTATTTATACTAAAAAATTTTTGTAATACCCTGATGTGTGTTGAAATTCTCACAATATTTAGTATTGTTGAAGTTATCGCAAACATTTTTTGTCAAGATTTACAAACTGTTTCATTCGATTTTGCAAATCAATCAATGAAATTTGAATAAACTTATTTATTTGGAAAAATACTTTGAGAAAAACCCTACTTAGTAGGTTATTAATTTAATTTTATAGGACTTCATGGTAAACAATATTTTTTAAGAAAATTTCTTTTATTACTTTTTCATTTTTAACAAAGAAGAATAAATTCTTAGAATTTCTTACTCTTGAGCAAGCAACATACAACTGGCCATCCATAAATATTTCTTTCTGGAGCCAAATTTCAATTTTTTTTAAGCATTTATCTTTGTGTTTTGCTTGTAGTTCTCACAAACACAGGGTGAACTGGAAACTGGATTCTTGTATATGTTTTCTTAAAGAAAACATGTAAATGTTTTTTTGCATGTTTTCTTTGCATATTCTATTTTTATTAAAAAGTATTTGTTATTTTAAACATTAAATTGTTTTTAAAATATTGGGAGTATTTTGTATGCTAAATAATAAAACTTAATTTTTCCAAAAAAAATGAATGAAAATTTATTGTACTAAGCTATGTACCCATGTAAAATCAACTGTACTTTGTACTCTCTTACCTGTTTGCACTTCTCCCCAAAATATGGTTTGAATTGCTCAGTGTATGACTATTTTAGAGGGTATGACTGACTAACACGATTTTATATATAGATGAAAGACATTTGTCAGTTGGACTGGAGGCTAAAACTTGTAAGCTAAATTTGTAATATCTTTAAATCTTTTTGTTAATTCTATATTGGTGGGATCTCTCTCTCTCTCTCTCTCTCTCTTTTAAGGTGAAATTCATATTATATTCCTCCTTTTCAAATATTTTTTTCAGATGCAAGAAAGGTGAATTGTTTGACTACCTCACTCAAGTGGTGACGCTATCAGAAAAAAGAACAAGGTAAACCTTACTTTTTGCTTTCTTTTCTCTCCTACACTATACACCTGTACATGTTCTGAAGTACAACCTTTACATTTAGCTGTTAACTGTCAGACTAATTTGAATAGTATAATTGAGAGCAACACTTTGTGATCTTATCTAGTCATTAAATACAAAATAACCCTGTCATTTAATTCCCACCTAGTGACTGTCCTTTTTTTTTTTTCATCATTTAATTGGTTTATTTTTGTCTTATTTCCAAATGATGAAAGGTTCATAAATACAAAATATTTTAATATATCTTCTGTTTTTGTATATTTTTTATGGATACACTTATTTGAGTAAATGTTCTGTTTTTTAATTAAACAGCATTAATTACATTTACTGGCCTGAATGTTTGAGAAATTTTGAAGAAAATATGGTTGTATCCTATACGGAACTGTCATTAATTAAGCCTTTTATTACTGCTTTTAAATCCTTTGCTAACCAGAAGTTCTCTGTGGCTGAATGGTCATAGCACATCGAACTTAATGACAGTTCTGTATAGGATACAGGTTTGATTCCTGTCAGAGGATGCATATTTTCTACAAAATTTAGGCTGGTAAATGTAATTAATACTGTTTAATTAAAAAAACAGAGCATTTACTCAAATAAGTGTATCCAGGAAAAAAATGTATAAACAGAATAAATATATATATATATATATATATATATATATATATATATATATATATATATATATATATATATAAATAAAATCTGATTTCTAAGAAATCAATGTATTTTTTTTTATTAAACCATTATTTTGTACTACCTCAAATGTTTTTTTGTTTAGATACCCATTTTTGGAGTAGACACCCTTTCTTTGGTAATATTAGCTTAGAATATTTTGAATCTTCTTCCGTCTCCAAGAGGGTGACTTTTTCCTTGTCTTACCAGTCTTGGCATCTATTTGTAAATATAGATTTGTATCTTCTGAAATATGCCGGGAAGGTAATTTCATTGTCCGGGTCATAATGAAATTCTGTTAAGCAATTTTCAATACCTTCGGCAGAGAAGAAACTTGTTTTTCGTTCTCCGGTTTTCATCATTAATTTTTCAAAAAGTTGAAGCTGTTGTTGGTTTTGCAATGGTTGTATTTGCTGTTGTTGTTGCTGAACACTAGTGCACAACAGTTTTGTAAGCTCTGTTAATGGTTCCATACTTTCTCACAACAAGTCTTTTCAGAAAAACGAATGACAGACAAGAAAAAAAAATACTCAAATCTTCGCTTTTTGCCTTCCAATAAACTTACTCGTGTAATTTTTGAATAATAAACAACAATACGACAAAAATATTCTTACTTTTAAAAGATTTTAGATGATAAATCTTTTTTCAGAATGTCTTCTTCCGATTGTAAAATGTTATAATATCCTAAGGTGTTGTCTTACTTCAAAAGTCTTGTAAACCAAACGTATAGCCAACAAATATTTTTCTTCTTGAATTTGTTTCAGTGTCACTGAAATTTGGTATGTGAATTTGATTCAACAATCCTCGTCACCACTGTTATATTCTGTTTTAATAGGAATATATACTTGACAAACACAGTGGATAAAATAAGTAAGGGTTTATTGTAAAACCCAGTACAATAAGAAATAAGGTAACAGTTATGCACACGGTCATCGCAAGTCAATCCAGTAGTGAGTGCTAGTATTGGAAGGTCGGTAGTTCTTGTGTAAGTCTGAGTCGTACTCAACAGATCCCAGCAAGTCAATATTTACCCCCCCCCACGAGGGAAAGATGTGGCACAAGGCCAAGTTTTACATGGGTTTTCCCGTAGAAACTGTAAAAACAGAATTGGGTTGGTCAACCTCCCCAAACGAGACCCTGCACTTCGGCAGAGCCTCGTCCGGGTTCCTCTCTGCCCGAAAGCAGAGAGTTCGACCTTCTTGCTGGAACAGATTCCAGCAAGCCTCCTGTAGTCCGTTGCCTTACGGATACTTATAGGTAGTTACTACCTATAGTGTAATCACTCAAGGGGGTGACATGTTATTCCATTACATCGCTTTTCAATAATCAAATTTGCTTTTGTTTGTTCTTTAATATAGCAGCAGCTGCTGCTAAGTCAGCATTATTTATTACTTCCCTTTGGTATTTTTTAATACATTGTAAAGTCAGTTTATGAACCAGTAGCAAAAATCTGCAAGGGACAGGAAATTGTGGAGAGCCATGATTGCCAATTTCCTGAAGAGACATGGTACATAGAATGAGAAGTACAAGCATTTACCAACCAATTTTGGCATGCTTTTGAATATTTACTATATAGGTGGAAAATTTTTTCATGTGAAAGTGGATGATGATACAAAAAAGTTTGTGAACTCCTGGTCTAAACCAATCACATATGATAATCAATCTTGTAATAAATTTCAGACAAGAAAGTGATAAACTATCATCTCAAGGAAAAATATAATTGAGATATAATTTAATCATGTGGTGGAGCTATTTGCAAAACATCTTACTGTGGGGTAAGGCTTAGTCTAGCAGATTACTGTTACTGATTACGATGTTTAATCCTCCATATTTGCGATATTGTGCAAAACAAGCCCAACTTTATAAATGTCTCTCTATAAAATATGCTACATATATTTATATATTTTTGTATGTAACTTTTTTTTGAAGGAAACGGCTACATCTAAAATACTTAATAATAACTAGAGGGCCCAGTTTTCCCCTGCTGGGGTAGAAGAAATATACCTTTCCCAAGGGTATTTGTGTAAAAGTGAATACAATGATCCTGGCTGGAACTTGAACTAAGCATGCCAACCCCATTTTCTGAGCTGCTAACTATTACACTATGTGTGCTCTCACGCACAAAAGGAAAACTTTTTTTTAGCTGACGCATTTCATCATCTGTTGAATTTTATTAATGTAAGGGTTTTATTTTGCAACAAGTATTTATAAACAGAAGTAAAAATGTTTGTTATTCAGAATTTTTAAATTTAAGAATTCTCAAAAAAATATACTTTAGGGTGTCTCAAAAAAAAATGTACTTTAGGGTGTCTCAAAAAAAAAATATACTTTAGGGTGTCTCAAAAAAATATGCTTTAGGGTCTCTCAAAAAAAATATACTTCAGGGTGTCTCAAAAAAAATGTATATACACTTTTACATCCTCCTCTTTCATCAGGCCTCACCTCCTTTATACTTTTTATTGTGGAGATATTTAAAAGATAAAGTTTATGCTACAAAGCCAGCAAAAATCTCTGAAATGAAAACTTCCATAGAGCAAAAATGCAGATAAATACCTATGGACATGTTGGTGGCTGCTTGTGATTCCATCGCGTTGTGTTGTCAGTATCATAATGGTCATCAGTTTGAAAACGTGATGATAAAATCTTAAGAGTATGTATTTATTAAAAATACTGTCTTCATATACATTATTTAAATTAGAAATAGTTGGTTCTAGCTGCATGAATTATTTTTTGAGAAAGATTCAAAATATGTATACATTTTTTTTTTTTTTTTTGAGATACTCTGTGTTATATATATAATTTGTGTATTTAGGCAGCAATCCTTCTTTTATGCACATTTCATTTAATACAACAGACAAGGTGCTTTGATTTTGTTTTTTATACAATTTCTCATGTGATCTAATAATTCTTTTTCTTTTCAGATGATAAATTATATAAAAACTGTCTAAATGATTTGATCATAGCTCAATTAGATCTCATTTAAATACTCATGGAGACCTACCGGACCCTATTTGTAACATACTTGTTAACAGCACAAATATAATAGCATCATCTACTTGCAAAAAAAGTCTAAAAATAATGGAAGCCTTATCAATAAAAACATAAAAAAACAACACTCAATAATATCAACCATGAACATGGACACAATATCTTGACTGTGTTTTGAAAAATGATATAAATACATACATGCAACAAACTATTTCTTATTTAAGAGTTAAAATATTCCATCCTTGAAAATGGCTAACTATATAGCTGAAAGTGCTTGGAAAAAAAGAACATTTAGACAGTTTTTATATAATTTATCATCTGAAAAGAAAAAAAATTATTAGATCACATGGGAAATTGTATAAAAAAATTAAATCAAACCACCTTGTCTGTTGTATTCAATATATATATATATATATATATATATATATATATATATATATATATATATGAATGAAGAAATATAGTCTTAAGATGTGCTATATTTATGGGATAAAGTGTTCAATATCAGAGATAGTGTGTAGAAAGATAGAAGTCAACACTTAGAGGTGACAGTCTGTTTCATGCTAGACGCAATCGTCAGGCCTGATGATTGCGTCTAGTATGAAACAGGCTATCACCTGTAAGTGCTGACTTCTATGTTCACTTGTATATATATGGTAAAACGAAAACTTAGCTGACATGTTTCATCCTCTGATTGACTTTATAAAGACAAATATCCTTCAGAAAATGAAATGTGTTGGTTAAGATAAGTTTTCCTTTTGTCTTTATTTATATTGTCCTTTTACAGATATATTTTTAATTATATTTGAGATTATACACACACACACACACATGTGTGTGAAAATTAAATTTCTTGAATCTAATTTAATTTTTAATGTTGAAAGCTAATCAAATTTGAAATTCCTTTACTCACCTGGCTCTTATTCAGTGGTTTATATAAAACATTTTAAATACAAATTGTTAGTTAGTTTTGATCGAAACTTAATTATTTAAAAGTTGTATGCTACTTGCTTTCATTCCTTAATCACTACAAATTCTATTAGTAGAAATACTTATGATTGAACTGGTAATAAAAATGAAAATATATTATTAGTTTTATCTATGTAAGCAAAGAGAATAGCTGTTTAGTAATGTGAGGAAAGACTGCATGTACTCAACTTTATATAAACCACCTATAATTGTTGATTGGGGAGTTAAGTGTGCTACAAAACATTTTAATGTTTGGTATTCTTTTACTGTGTGTCAGACCAGACCTAGCTAGTGGGGGGTGCGGAATTGAGGGAGAGAGAGATAAGAGACAGTTGCACTTGTCAATGATTCTTTTTTTTTTTTTCTATTATTTACTAAACTTAGTTAAGTTTAACACAATGTCAACTACAGGAAGATGGGACAAATAAGACTGTTGTACCAATTTCCCTAAAATCATTATTTCAATGATTGAACATAAAAATACTGATTTTGGGAAGTGGGCCAGGCCAAGAATTTTTCAGCATCTCTTTGTACATATTTCTGTCACCAATTTTGGGGTTGAAGCAAGGCTAATAAAAAAACAAACTGTTACTGAGTGTGAAAGAATATGCGAAAAAGAAAACATTACAACAGTAGATAATGATTAATATTGTATCTAAATTTTTGAAGATGAAAACTTGACTGGAAATCACAATCCAGAAGATAGTTCCACTGGCAGAAGTGCTAGAAAAGAAACTGTTAGCATAGAACTCATGGTTACATCTAACAATTTCAATTGTAAAATGATGAGACCTATCTGCCAATCTAGTACTGCACTTGAATTAGTAAAGTCTAGGTATCAAAAAGGAAAGCTCATCAGAACATTTAACATAAAAACATTTATATATTTACAGAAAAAGCACGAAGAAGCTATGTTATGGTGGTTACATATTTTCCATCAGTGTCAGGAGCTGTTTAAACTTGTGTACATGCTGATTTTAAATCCTCAGCCTTTAAACTTTGTTTAATCTGGCATAGATTCATAATATTGAAGTACTGAATTTAGATTGTATTTATTAGACTAATGTATAGTCTTCCCAGCAAAACCTTGCTGTATAGATTAAATAAATCTGTCTTGCTGTACAGATTAAATAAATCTAGTGAAAAGACATATCCATGTCTTACATTCCTTCTTATTTTGCATACTTGTTCAATTTCTTTTCTATTTGTATGCAAGGAGTTAGTTCCCAGTAGATGTTCTGGATTATCCTAATATCTTTCCCAAATATATTGAATTTCACTAACAGTTCAAATAGAAAATTCAAAACTAAGTAAGAAAGTAAGAAACTAAGTAATATATTAAACAGAAATTTTGTAGGAAACAAAGAGAAGAATACACAATTGTCATATAATATTAATCTTCCTATATGACAGTGAATGCTGGACAATTTCTTCACAGATGAATATAAGACTTGAAGCAACAGATGTAGTGTTACAGGAGAGTACCATTATTTTAATAACCTTCACTCCTTGGCAATGTTTATTGTTTTAGAAAGTGATGATTAGAATTGTAATAAAACCTAAACATATGATGAAAGTGAATTTATACATTTTTTTGAACACTATTTATTAGATTGTTTATTTACAAGAATAATTTTATATTTACAACATTCTAAAAACTAATACAATGCAATATTTATCATTTATTAATTTATAGAAAAATAAATGTGAAAACAATTTATTCATAAATTTATAAACATTTACTAAATTATTAATGTACTTGAACCAACTATAAGGAAATCCTTATTTATCATCTTATAAAGTTTGAATCAGTTGGAAATTAGCCAATATTTTGCCAACAATTTCAATATATAATATAATAAATAGTGTAAATAAACAATCTAATAAATGTATAGTGTTTATTATTTTGGTTGTTAATTCTCATGAACAAAGAAAATATATAAATTCACTTTCATCATATGTTTAGGTTTTATTAAAATTCTCATCATCACTCTTTAAAATAAACATTTCTGAGGAGTGAAGGTAGTTAAAATAATAGCAGTGTCATGGGAATAACAGTCCTTTTGACACTGTTTTTTTTTTTTTTTTTGTTTTTTTTGTTTTTTTGTGGGCACAAAGGTTCAAATTTGCCAAACATTTTTTTTTTGTTTTGTAACTTTTCTGTTGATATAGAACATAGGGCAATGTTTAACCTTCATGGTGTGTTAAAAGTATGGTTATTCCCTTAACACCACTATTACTGTATACCCTCAGCAATGTTTATTTTTAAAAGTGATGATTAGAATTTTAATAAAACCAAAACATGAAAGTGAATTTATACTTTACTTTATTCTTGAGAAATGACAAAGATATTAAACAATATTTATCTATTAGATTGCTTATTTACAAGAATAATTTTCTATTTGCAAGATGATAAAAATATGTGAATCAACAATAATGAAAATAATTTAATTTTTACCATTTTATAAAGAAATAAATATGAAAATAAATTTTTTATTCATAAATTTATAAACATTGCTGAAAATTTAAACGTATAATGACAAGTGACTAATTATAAACTTTGAAAAAATGCAGTCTCCAGGTATTTCTTTCATTTGCTCTCATCACATAAATTCACTTAAGATGTTGAGAGCATCTCTTCCTTTTATATATTTTGATAATTTTTTTAATTATTTTTTTTTATAAATTCTTGAAAAAAAGATTCCTTTTCAAATTCATTTCTTTATAAAAGAGTGTTGTAGAGTAGTTTTCACAGTGGAGGCTTGTAATTCAATAAGTAGTCCTAAATTAAGTTCGACGTACAAAAACGTTAGGAACTTGAAATAAGAGTTAATGACGCAGCAATCTAGTGGTGATGGTTGGTACTTCAATGTCCGATATTGACTGACTCGCTCAATACCACTGAGCCCAAATGGCGACTGCTACTACTACTTATTATCTGTGGGAGAGTCTATTACAATAGAATAGGTATTATGGTATAACAAAGAGTAAATAATAAATCTTTACAAAAGGTAAATAATAAATCTCACATTGTACTTGATTCACATATTTTTATAATCTTGTAAATAAACATTGCTGAAGGCATCAAAAGTGTATACAGTAATAATGGTGTCAAGAGAATAGCCATCCTTTTGACACACTGTTTTTTGTGGGCATGAAGCTTAAACATTGCTGAACACAGATTAGTGAGATAATATCTTTTAACTTGCTCTTATCAGACTTGCATTGAAGTTGTTCAGCATCTTCAGTGATTCTTTCCCCCTATTTAGTGGTACAGGCCAATTATTTTTGCAATTGCCAGCATTGTTTTTATTTTTCTAATCTTTGAATTTATTAAATATTTCTCTTTTTCTATCAAATCAGCCTTACAACCTATTTTAATGCTTCAAACTTGCAATGTGGCTAGACTTTGAAATTCAGGGTATATCCTAAAAAGGCCTGCCATTTGTCTACATCTGCTCATATTAAACCAGATTTCATCTTCACTGCATAGACTAATGTTGTCATCATTCAGCAAATAAATTTTGAGATTCTAATAAGTATTTATTTTATATATCGATAAAATATGTCATGACTAATGATGTGAAATGCAGTGTATTTTTTTTTTTTTTTTTGTTACGGTAAAGTTCATTCTGTATAAGGCCTGGGAGCCACTTGACGTAGAGGGTTCCTTTAAGGGGCAGTTCATACATATAGGCGGGGAAGGTAACTCAAACAGGTTAAGTTTGTAGTGATCAGGGAAAAATCCTCTTCAGAGTCAGTTCTACAGAACAGCAGTTTGTGGGAGGAAGCTGTTCAAGTGGAACTTACTTCTCACCAATGGAATACAGAGGGAATGTGGGTGGTTTACTATAATGTAAGTAGCATGGTGGGTTCTAGTTGTAAAGGTTAGACCTGGTCGAATCAAGGAATGTAGTTCATATAAGCACTTTACACGGAAGTAGTGGTAGAACAACAAGAGGCTTGCCACATTCCGCATTTATTTTAAATTTTTCATTTCAAAGCAATTAATAAAATTTCTGATCACCAAAAAGGCCAATATGCACACAAAACAAAAAAAAGTGCATTATTGTCTTCAAAATATTAATTTTAATTTTTTTTTGTCACAGAATAATAATGCGGCAATTACTTGAGGCTGTGAAATTCATTCATGAAAAAAACATTGTTCATAGAGATTTAAAGGTAAGTGATGCTTTACATACATAACTTTTCAATTGGTGATTATAATTGTTAGTATTATTTCAGATCAGTTTGTAACATTTTTCTTAGAAATGTTTATTTATAAATAATCAGGGTTGGCTAATTTCTTTGTTGCTTAACAATCTGTCATAACACAATGAATACAGATTATTGTGTTTGAATATCTAAATATTTGTGAGTTAAATCAGCAATAGTTTACTAACTGATGAATGTACTGAATATCTATAAATTAAATACTTTTGGAATCTTTGGTTTTATATCTTAGTTGTGGATTGGATTTGGAGTTCTTATATACAGAATCAAGCAGATCATGTTTAATAAGTGATCTTTAATGTCATGTATTCTGATCAAAGTCACAAATGCTGACGTTACTACTAAAAATAGCTGATCAATTTGTGTACACTGCAAACTTGTGTATATGGTACATGAGGTAATTTAGAATAAATTATAAAGAAAAACAGATATTCAATAGAAAAAATGTTTTAAAATGATTTGCAGACTTCTTCAAATTTAGAAAAACAAAAAAGGTGAAGAAAAGAAATGAGCCAACATGGCAGTAGGGTGTGTCTGGTGTGGTAAGAATGAATTATTTTTTTCTAGTTTGCTCCCCTGAGGCTGAGTAGTGCTTATCATCAGATGGGTTGTGTCCTCTTGATAAATTGGCTGTTTGGGGAAACTGTGATTGATTAGCATAGATGGCACCCCAGACACATTTGAATAGCAATGACTGTACTGAGTAATTTGCATACCTTGGATATGTGGGGTTGATTAGAAGAACTGAACACTAAATGCAGGTAGTTGTTATTTCGGCTTTGTTGACAGTTTGTGTAGAAGGTAGGAGACTGAGTCAGGAGTGACAGACATTTGTTGGTTTGAAGGACCTAACTAGTGTGGACATTTGCAACACCAAAAACAAAATATTCAGTTTCATGAATAGCCTTGATGTGATCTTGGAATTGACTGCATACCAAGAACAATTGGCTTTCATGTTGGCTATCAAATCCTTCAATGAGTTCTTGATATTGTGGTTTTAGTCTCCTTGATGAAGGGGTTTCAGATCAGAAGTTTTAGAAGACCACAAATTGGAGATAGCATAACTGGAAAAATTCTTATTCAGCAACTCCTGGCATAGGTGAACCATGTTGAAGAGAGCATGGCCTTCCTATGACCAACCCTTTGAAATCTGGGTTTGGGTAATTACAGTGAAGCATGGATGCATTGGGAACAAGTGGGTGGCATGATATGGTCCTTGCTTCCAGTGACTGCCTTGACCATCAAACATGTCTTGAATATAGTGGGCATCATATGGAGATATTAAAATATTGCATGTTTATGTGTATTATATATGGAGTGCATGTTCTCATCTAAACAATTAAAAAGAAGCATACAAAAATTTAAGGTTTCTACCATGGACCCTTTATTCTTTTTTATACAAACTGTAGTAACTATAGCATGTCTGTTTACTTTTTAATCCAGGAGTTAGGGTAAGTAAGAATAAGCATTGTATTAATGGTTGAGTTCAAATCTACCTTGTGCAAAGTTGGAATAATCAAAGGAAGGTTTGTACTTACTTTATCCTGGAAAGATTTAAACATTGTTATGGGAAGTCTTTTTTTTTTTTTTTTTTTTTTTTTTTTTTTTTGCTTTGTCCAGAAGTTATGGTAACTCAGTATAAGCATTGTTACAATGATTGTGCTCAAGTCAGCCTTGTGCTGAATTGGAACAGCTAAAGAGAAAGCTTTACTTACTTCATAGGTGGAAGTTTTTTTCAGCCAATGAAGGACAGCACAAACATATGCAAACTTTATAGACATATGGGTAAAATAAAATTATCCCACTTTGCATAAAAAAAAAAAACAGGGGTCACTCTTTAAGCCATAAAAAGCTGTGCATTTCTCTCCCTAGCCTGTTTTACAGCTTTTTAACTCTGACCTTCAAATGTAGTCACATGTGGGTAAAGTGGGGCATGTTCACTCACTCACACATTATAGCTAGTTTCATGTTTTTTTTTCCCTTTTGTCACATGTAATTCCTTTGTTAATACATGCATTGTCATTTGTTTTATATTTATTGTTTTGTACACTATTTACATTATTGCCCTCCTTGCAATGTTTTGGCTGTTATATGCTCTGGCTTTCTTCAAGTGGTTGGAACTGTTGAACTGAACCCTAGACTGTTCTAGTTCCATGTGCCATGTTTAATGAATGTCAGTTACCAGTTAATTCCCTCTCTCCAAGTTCTCCACTGCCTTAACCAGGTATTGAACTCACACTCCTGGATCTAACTAATACCTTTATCCACCGTGCCATGTCTCCTTGAGGACATCTGTGTCTTCAACAACCATTTTTACCAGTGTTCATATTGCAATTTTTGCTGTTATCATTGCATGTTTTTACCAGAACTCATATTGCAATTTTTGTTGTTATTATCGCTTTTCTCTGGCACTCCTTATTACTGGTTTCCATATTGTATTCATTTGTATTGTGGCCTAACTTTAAAAAAAAAATTTCCTATAAAAATATTGTCTATGTCATAGAGGTGAGTTTGACCATTTCAAAATGGAAAACCATGTAAAAAGCGGCTTATATCAATTTAAGCCTTTTTAGAATTGCATTGACAAATTGCAAGGTGATATCTCATCATAAGGTTAAACTATAAAAAAATATGTCGATACTGTTCAAAAAAAAATTAGTATTCCAAAGTTCAAACTATGTATTTTACATGATTTTTTCTTTTATCTCTACCAAAGGTTGAGTAGTTTTGCTATTTTACAAAATTACAATTGAATAGAAATATGACTTGTACATAATACTTGTATATGTATACATAATTCTTGTTCATAATACAAGAAACTTTGAACAAAAATTATGGGCAAAAGTGTGGGTGTATTATAAACAAGCATGTTTTCAGAAATTTTTACTGTTTAAAAACCTCTTAGTTGAAACAGTAAGATTGCAGATACACTCTGCACAGTATATAATAAAATGCAAAGTAGGCAGGTGTTAATAATAATTGTTTACAAAAGGTATTTGATATGTCAGCAATATTTGTTTCTCTTTGTTCTTATTTTTTATTTTCATAGTTTATTAATATATAGAAATATAATAGTCATATTAAACAGAAATGTATGATAGACTAATTAACATCTTAAAATGTATTACCAGGTATGTCTATTTAGCACATTTCCCAGAAATTTGAAAATTAGTTTTGAAATGGAAATTAGAAGAAACATTCAGTGGCTAACATCTGGTTCATTTCTATTTAATATTATGAAAAATTAAATATCTTGGTGAAATATATGTACAACATTTAGATTTTAATAGATAATATGGTACAACTTTAAAAAAAAATTATATACGGATGGTTGTACTATATGTCATAAGGATGTAATTTATTCCCTGTTTTTAGCTTCATAAACACAGGGATGTATTATATTCAAGTATTACTAAGCACAAGAAAATACATTAAACAAACTTAACATTTGTTTTTAATTGTTTAAAATTAAATGTTTCTTTTTTTTTCTTTTCTTTTTTTTTTCTTAGCCAGAAAATATTCTTCTTGATGATGACATGAATGTAAAACTGACAGACTTTGGTTTGGCGACCATGCTTGAAGACAATCAAGAACTTACAGGTATCATATGCGTACACTTCTTTTTTACATTCCCTGAATATACCTTGATCTTAATCATCCAGTAAGTAAATGATAACTGAAAACTGAAGTTGCCATTTTGATCTATGAGTATGGAGAAGGGGGTGTCTTTCAAGACTCCTGGGCCGATAGTGCTGAATTGGTTGTTTTTTCTTATCTCTACATATTGATGATGTAAGGTTTAATTAATAAATTAGGTACAAAAACTAATAATAAAATAGAACAATTATAATGATATACTGTAATAAATTACAGAATATTTGTATATCTTAGCATCATCAGTTTACAATTTGTTTTTTTTTTTTTTTGTTTTTTTTTTTTTTTTTGCTTATTAAGTCAAGAACTTTGACTTTTCACTTAGCAGAAACACTTTACAGCTTTTCTTTGGCAAATCCAAATTGCCAGCATCATTATGCTTATGATTTGGAATCATTATGAAGTAAAATTTATGAATTGTTTATTTCTGGGGTTAACTGTGGGTAACTAAAACCAAAAATGAGAGATATTGTTGTATTTTTCCCCCATGTCTCATAATGCAAAAATATTTTTATAGGAGCTATTTGATCACATAAATAATATAAAAAAAAAAGAACAGAAAACACTGAAAATTTATAAAATAAAAATTACTGATTCTTTTTGCTATAAATAGCTATGTATGTATAGGAAAAAAACAGTACATATCTGGTTCAGTGCTATCTGATTTCAAGCATCTGCTGAGGGGCTTGGGAACAGATTTCTTGTAAGTAAAGTGTAGGGAATAATGTATATTAAAATATTATTAGGTGTTTGTACAATTTTCCAGTAAAAAATTGATTTCCAACTGAGTATTTAGTCTTTAGCTTTCAAAAGGAGTGTCAGGAACTTTTGCACACACCTAATAATATATATTTATAAAAAATGTTTATAACTTATTTCATTCAGACTATATATTTGAAGAATTGAACTTCTCTTAGCATTTTTTATGTTGTTGTTACCACAGCATTTCAGCTGGCCAATTCATGCTTTTGTCAGAGGCATAATTTGTATGAAAAAAAGATGAACCTCATCTCGCATTTCTTCAGAAAATAGTGAAAGCAAAAGGGTCATTCATATACCAATCAGATCAGTCCATTTCAATTAGAAGTTCCATTGTTTGAACAAAATACAAGTATCTACTATAATAATGTTATTATAGTGGATACATGTATTTGAAATAGATGCCTTATTTTTACTTTAAACTGTGTATTACATCTATTAGCCTGTGTGTTTGAGAAATCTTAAAGAAAATGTGCCCTCTGGCAAGAATTGAACCTGTGTTCTCCTTTTCCGGAGAAACCACTGTTTGATCCTATATTCTATACCGCTTAGCTACGAAGATCATCACAGGCTCTGTTACCATATATATATATATATATATATACACACACACAGTACCTTGCATAAGTAGTAATGAATATAAATATGCAAGGCACTGTGTGTATTAATGAACTTTTTGAACATTTTGTCATGCAGAAGTTTTATTGGGGTCTTATGTAATTGTTGTAGAGTAGTTTTCATAGTGGAGGCTTGTATTTCACTGAGTCGGTCCTAAAAAAGGTTCGACGTACAAAATGTTAGGAACTTGAAATAATAGTTAATGACGCAGCAATCTAGTTGTGGTGGTTGATACTTTAATGTCCAACATCGACTGACTCACCAACTCCACTGAGCCTCTTGGTGACTGCTACTACTACTACTACTACTACTTATTATATCTGGGAGAGTCTATTTACAATAGAATAGGTATGTTCTAGTATAACAGTAATCAATCAACCCAAAATAGTACATCATTTTGATGTGATTGCGCGATATTACATGGTTTTAAAAATTATTTACAAATAAAAATCTAAAGCTGTTGAGTACATATGTTATATATTCTCTTCAGAATTCTTGATCTTACTTAAAATATTCATTTTATCCTTGAAAAAAAATTTTTTTTTCCAGATCTGTGTGGTACTCCTGGGTACTTAGCCCCAGAAGTATTAAATGTATCAATGAATGAAACTGCCCCAGGCTACAGGAAAGAAGTAGATATGTGAGTGTGCTATACTTATCTTTATACATTATAAATGTATTATTGCCCACACATACACACACACACACACACACACACACACATTCTTTATAAAATTATTTTTGTCAGTTTGTTAATATTATGTTACTTTCAGTAAATTTATTTGACAGCAATAATAAATTTTCACTTTTATTAAATATTATTTTATTTTCAATTTTTAGGTGGGCAGTTGGAGTCATCATGTATACGCTGTAAGCAACTTTTATTATTTTTAATGTCTTAGAATGTCTCTATAACCATCCTTTTGACACTGTCTTAGTGAGGGCATGTTTATCCATGTTTGTTGAAACAACTTAGTAGTAGTAATCATGAAGTAACACTATACTGTAATAAACCCAAATTTAGGCTTTATTTTACAAAGAGCAAGTACAACAGATTTAAGGAGAAGCTCAGTCCATTATGTAAACGGAAAGGGGAGGAGAAAATTCACTACAGGACATTGTTATTTTTCACAACAAACTTTATAATATATTACAGCACCAATATTCAGAGAATATTTGGGTATATGGTGCTCGATAGCCTAGGAAGGCAGTCCATTTAGGGGAGGAAAAGCCCTGATTTTAAATCTCTGCTGCCTTATTCAAACACTGAAAAGGCTATGAAAGTAAATCCAGACTGAAAACCAGGAGTGGAGTCCCAAAGGCAGTTGGCTGTCAACATTGACAACTTTCCAGCAACTCCTACAGCCAAGTCATTCCCAAATGTAATGCACTGTATTCCTTTGGATCTTGTTGGTACAACTGAGAGAGGGGTCATGTAGTTTCGGCAGTACATGTCCTCCATATACCCTTGCCCAGGCCTGCACTCTTGAGGGGTCACTCCAGTTTCACCATCAAAGTACTGAATTTTGACCAAATAGGGCACTACTTTTATCCTGCAAGATAAACATGGTACCTCCTATTCAGAGAACTTGAAACCATTACTTGGTTATTTGTTTTAGTGCCTCATTTTACTTGCAATTATTGCTATATGTTAGACAATAGTAAGTGCATTATTTAAATAAATTAGCCATAATCAATGGCTTTTTCTATCTGTCACTTATACTATTGTCAACTGGCTTTAGATTTATATAAGTAATGAAGTAATCGTTTTAAGTAATGTGGTTAATCAAAATGAGTGCTGTGTAATTTGTTGCATTTTCTTACAATTAAAACCAAAATTAAGACAATATTTAAATTATTGCAATATATTTTATGTTTTTTATAAAAAGTTTGTGATCATTGCTATGATTCATTTATTGATGCATTGAATACTACCTAGTTGAAGTGAACAATATATAAATGATACCATTTTATGTAGACATATTTTGGTGCTATCTATACAAAATGTGAAAGGTATAGTGTCTATACTAGTAGAACTAAACCAAAACTTAGTGTGATATTAGCAACAGATATGTAGATTTTGATATTTCAGTTATGAAATTAATGTAAATTACCGAATGCAGTAAATGATATTTTTTTAATACAGATTCCAAAAAAATCAAAGAAAAAGTTTAGAAAACTGATAGGACTTTTAAAAGTTGGATGGATGAAAGATTAGTGTAAAGAACAAATTATGAAAAACAACTGAAATTATAAATTTGGATAAGTAGAAGATTCAGATACTTCTAAAATATAAGAAAATTGGTGATTAATTGTGTGGGAGGTGTGTGTGGAACCAAGAGACATGAAATAATTGAAAAATATCTTTAAAAGTTAAGTGTTATAAAAGTGGTTTTAATACCCCACCCTGACAGCTAAGCTTGAGTAATTATCTTGTATTTTAACATGAGATAGACAAAGTAGAAACTAAATTGTATTGATGCATTTCAGGTTAAGTGGATCCCCTCCATTTTGGCACCGGAAACAGATCTACATGTTACGTGCAATCATGGAAGGGAAATACCAATTCAACAGTTCTGAATGGGATGATGTTAGCAATATACCAAAAGATCTGGTAAGTTTCTATCCTTTCCTATCTTTTATATTTAAAAGTATATCTTGAGATATATATATATATATATATATATATATATATATATATATATATATATATATATATATTAGGTTTTTGTATATTATAAAAATATTGGCAAACTTGGATCTTTTGCCAACAAAAAAAAAATGGAATGTCAAAAGGACAGTTTTTCCATTGACAATGCTATTATTGTAACTATCTTCACTCTTTGGCAATTTTTATTATTTTAAAAAGCAATAAGAATTGTAGTAAAATCTAAACATATGAAATTGAATTTATACATTTTCTTTGTTCTTGGGAATTGACAAGAAAATAATAAACATTATTTATTTATATATTGTTGTGTTCTAAATAGGAAAAGTTGACATGTAGAAAATAAGTTTATTCTGGAGAATAATATGGAACACAGTTGAGAACACAGACTAATGTAATAAACAGTTAATCGTTAACTCCTCTCCCTTAGTGAGAGAGAGTGCTGTTTAAATAGTCTTAGACCAGTCCATCTTGTAAGGGTGTTCAACTACACCACAACATTTATTATATTATTTATTTGAATGGTTGCTAAAACATTGGTTAATTGTCAATAAAATGATAAATAATAAGAATTTCTTTATAGTTCACATATTTTAAATAATCAAGTAACTGTTTATAAATTTATGAATAATGAATTTTTCATATTTATTTCTTTATAAAATGGTAAATGATAGATATTGCATTGTATGAATTTTAATTGTATTAGTTTTCAAAATGTTGTTAATATAAAATTATTCTTGTAAATAAACAAACTAATAAATAGTGTTTAATAATTTTGTTGTAAATTCTCAAGAACAGAATAAAATGTATGAATTCACTTTCATCATATGTTCAGGTTTTATTACAATTCTAATTATTGCTTTTCTTACCGAAGAATAAAGGTAGTTAAAATTATAGTGGTGTCAAGGGAAAACTGTCCTTTCAACTCTGTTTTTTTTTTTTTTTTTTATAGGCACAAAGGTCTAAGTTTGCCAAAATATTAAAATAATGCAGGGATCTGTCCCACCCATTATCTGCAGTTTTGCTTGCCTTCCATGATTTCAATTATCCAGACAACCTCAGAAATAAACAATCCATAAATTTTACTTCACAACTCAAGGGTCAAGATGCTAGCAATTTAAATATGTAAAAGAGAAGCCATAAAGGGTTTCCAGTAAGTGAAATAATATTTTAATATACTGTCGTCTTTTTGTATTTACTTGAAGGGAATAAGTTCTCAATGAAAAAAAAAATGTATAGTATGATTAAGAATTATGGTAAGAATTAATATTTGGTAACTTTATATATATATATATATATATATATATATATATATATATATATATATATATATATATATATATATATACATACATACACATACAAGACTCTCCCATTGTATTTTGATGTATGAGGAGCCATTTTAGAACCAAACAGCCAGACTACCCGCATTTATAATTTGATTATAGTGGTGCTTGTGCACACAGTGAACCTCAAACAACCCTCCTCAGGTTTTGAATTCAAAGTTGTCCTTCTAGACTGGTTACTACCCAAGGCTATAAGAGTCAGTCTGTCTTGCTATTTACCCGTAGCTGGTGGGGGGAAAGAAGAAATGGCTTTATACTTTTCCCAAGGGTATTAGCACATAAGTGAATGTAATCATCTTGACTGGAATTTGAACTCTGCTCTCCTATTGCTCAATCCATGCTGCTTTCAGTTATTCCACTCTCTCATCTATATATATATATATATATATATATATATATATATATATATATATATAATAATAATAATACTTAGGACAAGAACAACACACATAAGATTCACCAGCAATGCGTAGAAGTAGTCAACTGCTAGAAGTGAGTCAAGTGAATTCCACAATGAATCCCCAGCTGCAGACCAACATACAGTATTTACTACTGTAGCTATGGGAATGGGAACATACCCATTATCGTTTGTAGGTATGTTACAAATATATATGAAAACTAATCTGTTTCTGATTGCTTCCTTTATGATGATGGCGTTGATGACTAAGTAGACCAATTCTTGTATGGAAGAGCCGATAACATTGACTGCATAGTAATGTTGGTGGTGAATGAAGTTGATTTTGTCAAGGCTTTCCCTCTTGTCATTTGACCTCTTCCTTTTGGTGACTCCGAAGTTTTTAGTTCCAAAGGTGATGCAACATTGCTAGTTGGTATGGTCTTGTGCTTGTGTTTCAAACGATTTAGGCTCAAGTCTAGTGGATTTCAATGTTTTGAAACTCATTGGGATTCTCACATCTTTAGCAAAGATAAGCCTCTATGTTTGATCAGTTTGATAGGGATATTGTCTGGGCCCCTCCATCATGACAAGGAGCAAAGGATGAAATTAATAGTTCTATAGTATTCTTAGTTATCATTATTAAACTTTTATTATGCTTAAATTAAAAATTAATTTTATCATAAGTAGTTATATATGTAAAAGAAAAAAATAGTATATATCTGGTTCATTGCTATTCCCTGCAGGTAAGGGTTAGGAACCAGTGTCTTAGGGAGGGTTTTGAGCACCTGGGGCAACTTAAATTATTGTGCCTCCTCCTTAGCCATGAGGTATTATAAATCCTAGTTTTGTATGTATTTTCTCAATCTAATTCATTTTTGTGTCTGGCTCCACTCACACTACACCAGTGCTAGGGACAACTGTATATTAATTACCTTTAATTGTGTGCAACACTTTCCAGTAAAAATAAAAAAAAAATGAGTATTTAGTCTTTAGCTTTTAAAGGGAGTTTCAGAAACTTTTTTACACACCTAGTAATATATATTTATAAGAAATGTTTATGTTGTTCCATGCAGACCACACTTTAATAATGATAACTATTCTAAAAAATACCAACATAAATTACATTATTATCCTATAAATTAATTATTATAATGTTATTTATTAATATTTACACCAAAACATCTGGTAAATTTTTGTCAGTTATTAAACTAAAACTAAAGAAAACAAAATTCTTACAAGACAGTTCAATAAGTAGAGAAGAATTTTCAATCACTATTGATTTTGTTCACATTTTGTCAAGGGGCTTTTATTTCTATTTTTATTTTTTTTAAGATGCCAAACCATGTAATTTAAATGAAAGCAGTATTTTTTTTTGTTTTATACTAATTATGAAAAATATTTAAAAAAAATAGCAAAGCTTACTCAAGCATGAGTATCCACTAAATATAATGTCAAAAGTAATAAGAATCAATTCTGGATTAAAAATAAAATCCATTAATTCCTTAGAAATTAATTTGTTTACATTTTAGATATGAAAATAATAGTTATCAGATATGAGCTTTGAAAGATCCAGATAAGAGATGTCTTCTTCTTTTATGTGCCATGTTCCTTCAGGATGTTGGCAATCATGACTCTCCATTGTAGCTCTCAATAAGCTTTAACTTTTTGTTATTTCCCCCAGACTCTGTTCTGCCATCCACTTGCTTAAGCTTGTTAAGTATGTCACACGTTGTTTGCCCTTATCCCTCTTTCCCTTTATCCACCCTGTGAGTATCAGATTTTTCAAGCCCTCCTTTCTTATTACGTGTCCCAGAAATTTCAGCTGCCTTGAGTTTCCTTTTTGTTTGCATCCTCTCTAAAACCTCATTGTTGCTCACATGTTCAGTCCATGGTATCTTAGGCATTCTTCTGTAGAACGAAAGCTTTGCTGCCTCGAGTCTCTTCTTCATCTTTGAGGAGATCGTCCAATATTCTCTACCATAAAAGAGAACAGATATCAAATAGCAGTTCAGTAATAAGAAATCATATCTGATTATAAATAAGATTCATTAATTCCCGAGAAATTAATTATGAATTAAAATTCATAATGATGAAGTAAAATTTTCAGAAGCAATATTTACTTGGTGTTGAAAATATTTAAATAAAAAAAAATGCTTTTGCTTAACAAAAACGAAAAAAAAAACGTTTTTAAACAGGATGACAGCATTTAAGTTTGTGATGCCAGTGATATTTCAGAAAGGATTTTCATGCACTCACATTTTAATATAATTCTTATTTATACTTCTGATTTACTAAGAAAATGTTTAAAGTCATTTTTTTTCTTTAGAATTGCTTGAGAAATAGTCTTTTATGATGTTGACAGTTTTTGAATAGACTTTCTTTAAAGTTTGTGATTTATGCATGTCTTTTATTATAACCAGAGAGAAAAAGTCATCTTTATTCCTTTCTGTGTTTAATCATCATAATATGCTAGAAACAAAACTGATGCATATGCTTGGTAATAGTACCATGTATTGTTAGGGTTGGATTGGCACAGAAATGATATCAGTAGCTGCACTTAGAATTTGAATCCTCATTGCTAATTCTATTGTCCAAACAATTACCAATTTTACTAATTGTGCCTATTATTTTCTAAGGTGTTAGTTACACATCGATGACATCAAAATCAAGTGGCTGGAGAAATTTAACTGTGTAGTGTGGTAACAGAAAGAAAAAGAGAAATCCCAAAACAGGAATCACATAAGACTAAAATATAAAATCAGAAATGATATAGTACAGGGCTACTATTAATTGTCTAATCTCCTGTTTGACTGGACAATTTCATTATGAGTGAAGAAAAGACTGGAAGTAAAATGTGGCTTTGAAAATATCATGGATAGAAAATGTGAGAAAGTTTTAAGAACAGGGACAACAAAGAAACTGTTGCTAATAATCAGAAAGAAGTGAAATCTTGGGGGTCACATAATGAAGATGATGGGGAGGGGGTTGATGTAAAAAGCAAGAGAAGCAGAGGAAATCGGTGAATAACATACTTGATCCATTTTAGCAAACAAGTGCTACAAAAACAAAGAAGTTTTACAGAAAAACTATGATTGCCCACATCCTAAACGGATGTGACAAAAGGAATTTTTCTTTTTATATAGAAAATCATGTTTCAACCACTTTCTATACTCTAAGTGTTACTGAAAAATATAAACTGTGAAAAACATATATTTGTTGGACAGTATGAAATTTGGTAAAGGCTATATTTATACAGCATGTAGTGAGGAACAAATTTACTGTCAAGACAAGCATGTAGATCACTGCACAATGCATAACTGTCTTCAGGTAAGTAAGTAATATATATATAATTTGGTTACTAGATGTTTGTTTTCCCTCAGACGGTACTTTCGCATTAAGAGGATTAGGCTTATGACATGCCCATATATGTGAGGAACCCATGTATTCCTTTGTATCTACCCACATTAAAAAAAATGATCGTAGGTCATATTTGATGTCTATTAAGATTAAAAACAAAATCTGCGTATATAAAAATCTAGTCATCTTTAACAAGCATAAGATTTACAAAATAAATATGCCTATCACTATAAAAAAAATTCTTTGAACAAATTTGCTGAATTTTGATCTGTAATTATCCCTGTATAGTGTTTGCTCAATGGGATCAATAGAGAAACATTGCATCATTAAACTTACTTGGATAAAGTATTATGTACGAGTTTGATTAAACAAAAGCTCCTTTTGTTAAGGATTTATTTATTTTTTCCATTTTTGACCATTTCCTGGTTTTCTGTACATGTTTAAATATAAATTTTTCAGGGTCTTCTGAGATTTTATTTTTTTAATCCAACATATTTTTATTACTTCAAAGATCACTTTTAGTTGAAATCTGTATTAGAGTTAGACATTGTTTATTTTAAAGAGTATTCATTTCGTCTACCAGTCTGCATACTTAAGAAAACTTTGGCCAAAAAATCCATTAATTCTTTAGAAATTGCTTTGTTTACATTGTGGATACGAAACTGAACAGATATGGCTTTTGAGTAAAATCTTAACGAGCGAGTGTGCTTTAAAGGCAAAATAGAACCATGCTTTATTGTGAAGCTCATTGTAGTTGAGTGGTAAAAGCACACCAGATTAGTTGGTGGTTCCTCCAGCAAAGGAGGATGCAGGTTCAAATCTTGCCGGAGGGTACATTTCCTTTATTAAGTTTTCTTGAGTTCATAGACCAGTAGATGAAAAAAAATACTGTTTAAAATAAGTGGAGCATCTACTCAAATATGGGTATCCACTGAAAAAAATGTTTGATTAGATGTGTTTGTATAACTGGGCACTGAAGGCAACACAGTAGCAACAGTCTGTTTCATGCTTGAGCACAATCTTCATAGTCTGAAGATTGCATTCAAGCATTAAACACTGTTATCTCTGATATTGACCTCAGTCTCCACTTTTTATTTACACATACTCTCTCCCTGATATTGAGCACTTTTATGCATAGACAGAGCATACCTTTAAAACTACATTTCTGTCATAGACACACACACACACACACACACACGCGATGGATAAATTGTCTAAATTATGCAAACTGAAAATAACATTGAATTCTCATTTTAACATATATTTACCAAAATTACACAAAGATTATCTTGAAATATTAAAGAGTAAATTTATTCAATACAAATTGATATTAGCTTCAACCGTGGACTCTAGATGACTTTAGAATCTCTTGCAACTCATCAGGACATTCTCTTTGTTTAAGTTGGTGAATGCTGCCATAATCTTTTCTTTCAGTTCATCTTTGGTGTTACAAGGAGTTTTGTTGGTCTCTTGCTCAACTGTATCCCACACATAGTAATCAAGACGGTTGAAGTCTGGTGAGTTAGGTGGCTAGATGTAAGGGGTGATGTGGTTGTAGAAATTGTCTGACAGCCATGACTGGGTTCTCCTGCTTGTGTGGCATGGTGCAGAGTCTTGTTGTCAGACATAGTGTCTTCCAGCAGCCACCCATTTCCAAATTTCTGGCAGAGTGAATTGTATCATAGTACTCTTTTTCTCCCAGACAATGCCCAACTGCCCCTATTATACTGTGTTGTTGACAAAATCAAAAACAATGTGCATGCATGAAATTAAAAATATAAAATGGTATCAATTTACCCATCACACCCTCTATATATGGTATATAAACCAAAGACCTGCTTGTTCTTTATATTAATATCAACCTGTTATTAATTTAGCATATCTAATAAATATTGTGTCTGTGATTATAAATTTAGTAAACTATGCAATTAACTTTGTTTTCACATATAAGAAAATTCTGTTTTAAAATCATCAAAACTACAAGTATCCATTATTTAATTAATAACTCAAGATCAGGTTGTGTCACTGATAACGTCCTGTTATGTTATATATTATAGAATAGATAATATATCCCCAAGTATTTTTTTTTACAGTTGGTCAATTTTCTGTAGTCTTTTCATATTTGTGAATTTTTAAGTAAAAAGCCATGAAAGTAATTTGATTGTTGCTTATGCATGTGTAAAACTGCTTATTTGATTTCATTTTTCCTTCCAGATTTCTAAACTGCTTGTAGTTGATCCTAAAAAGAGACTTACTGCTGATGATGCTTTGCAGCATCCATTTTTCCAAAGAGATGTAAGTAAACCTTCTTAAGGCTTTCACTTTTTTTTTTTTTTTTTACTGTTATCATATAACAAGTGGTGGACTGGCCAGGGTGACAACTGGCCTAGATTAAGAAGTTATACTGAAGAAAAAATTGTGCCTTTGACAAAATCAAACCTGTATCCCCTTCTGACCAGGGAAACTGCTTCTATAGCTGAAATTCAGTTATAGAAGTGGTTTCCCTGATGGAAAAGGGGATACAGGTTCAATTCCTGTCAGAGGTACAATTTTTCTTTAGTAGAACTTCTCAATCTAGGCCAGTTGTTATAAATTTCCCTGTTTTAAGAAAAAAAAAAAAAACATGTGTACCCACTAAAAATAACATGTATAGTAATAAAAAATAATGCCAGCTAAAAAAAAAAAATCCATTAAAATATTTCCTACTAATGTATGTAAACATTAAAGAACAATGATTGCAGAATATCAGATATCTGTGAAAAATTAGATAAAAAGTTGTATTGTTAGATTTGAGCTTTGATAAATGTCTTTTGTATTAGTAAAATGGCTATTCTGGACAGGTAGACTCCCAAAGAAAAGTGATGCGAGTTTGAAATTTAGTGTGAGCCTGTTGTTTTGTTTTTTTTTCCTCAATTTGTACTTCTAGCAACCATAAAATGGCAGTTTTGAGAGTTGCAATAAAAATCAACAGAAATAAGATAAAATAGTAATCAAAAGTGAATAATAATCAGTGATTCTTTATCTAATAATAAATTTAAAGTATTCCCTTGATTGAGCTCTGAAAAGAGAGGAACAAAAGCTCTTCAACTGTATGTTTTTTTTTCTTTTACAAACTACTGTTCATAGTAATTATACAGTTTTCATGGTCCTACATCAAGGTCAGAAGGTCATTATGGGCACATTCTGTGTTATAACATAGGTAGTTGCTGGGTGAACAACTTGTCTTGCTTATTGTTTAGGTGTTCAGAACAGTAGATCACTTGTGAGTTTTTGTTTTGCTTGCCAGTAGTGTCCTGCAATGCACCTTCTGTGTTCATGTAAGATTGTAGAAATATCAGGGATGGGTCCATAAAGCTTTGATTTAGATGGATGTTATATACAGATGTTAAGTATAGCTCTCAGCATCTGAATGTAGGTTCCACCAAGCTTAGACTCTAGAGTTTTAGTTAATGTTCAGGTAGTGGTGGCACCATACATTAACACTGCCTCTACAGTGGCTTGAAAGAATTTCTGCTTTCAACCACTGAAAGCTCAAGAGATTGAATCGTCCGACTAAGATTATCTGTCTGCATTAATGTTTTCTTGCCAAGTAGATAACCAAAAAGAAATGAAAACTTTCTCATATTTGTTTGCATACTAATGATTCTGTCTTATATCTTGGTATCTTTTGGACTGTCAATATTTGGTGTTTTTCAGCTGGGGTTTGTCTTTTCATCTTCTTTCTATTTTTATTTGAAAGAGAAATACATTGAGAAAAAGAGATAAGGATTTTAAGGGAAAGCAAATGCCTTGTTTTAATTTGAATTCTTTTCTATTTGTCTCTACATTTAGATTTTTAGATTTTATTTTATTTTATTGAACTTGCCACAATTCCAAATTAAAATGAAAAGGTACCCCTGCGATAAAGGGAAATTACCATCATCATAGACCTTTCAAAGAAAAATACTTTCATCAGGGTCTATGATAGTTATTTTCTTCCTTACTTTGATAGTTTTTTCTTTATTGTATTTTGTTAAAATAAAACCCTGTAAAAAAAAATACTATAATTGGTAAAAAAAAAAATTGTGGGGAGCTAAGACTCCCATGCCCAGCTGTTACAGCCCTGAAAGCTTAGTAAGGACTATCCTTCCATGAAACTTGTGGACTAGTGCTACAGAATCACAACTGTGAACATGACCTTACCAAATAACAGAAACCACATCAGTTGAGGACTTAGAACAGCAGTAACAACTAAAATGGGTAGCACATGTAACTTTAAGAGAAAATAATGACATGATCAAAATGTTGATATTCTATGCTACTGTGAACAAAAGGTTAGGAAGGAAACCTCCATCAATACTAGAAAGAGCAATAACAATGAACTTCTGAATCCTATTTTCATGAAAAATTGTTTTAATTGAAAGATTTTATAAATTTCAACAAACGGTAACACTGGCTGCTTGTTCAATGAATGCCAAAGGTTTTCAACTGAAGAAACTGCTAATATTGCCATTATTATGTTAGTTTTAATAGCAATAATAAAATTTTGTATCTCAAGGAAATTCTATAAATTCAAAATATTACTATTAAAACAATTAGTGTATCTAAACATTAAAAACAAAGATTGTAGCATATCAGTATTCAGTAAAAATAAAGAATGAACTTTATATGGTTAGATTTGAGTGTCTGTAACTGTATGAAGCTTAATTAGTAAGACAGCTACCCTGGTCAGGATGTGAGTTCAAATCTTGCTGAGTGTTCATTCTTTATTTTTGATCCATACTATTTACTACTGACCATAGAATTGACTGTTTGAGAATCGTCTTTTAAACAATTCACTCCAAGCAAGGGAATAATGCTACTAAGATGCAAAGAGCTTCTGGGAGTGAAAGAGAATGAAAATCCTTTAGAAGAAACCAGAAACCCAATCCTAAATAGGAAAAAAAGTTATAAACCTCTACTCCTGTTAAAAAAAAATGGGGAGAAGTGTGAACCAGACGATGTGAAAACCTATCTACTCCTGTTGAAGAAAAATAAATAAATAGTAATTTTTAAATTTTTTTCTTTATCTTCACATAATTTCTTTGTTTATTTTGTTTAAAAATTTGGTGTATAAAGTTAATTATTTCCTTTTTCTCTCTGCAGATGGGCACGATACGCAAAGCTTTCAATGCCAAAAAGATGTTCAGAGTAAGTCAAAGCTTGATCCAAACTCACACTTAAAAAGATATTTCAAAATATGTACCAATTTTATTCAGATTTAATTTTTTGTAGATTTACCAGTTTTTATTTTTTGTATGTCTTGGGGGTGCTGAAATGTTCTCAGTCTGACCCACATCTCTGACCTAACATAATTTTTATGATTATTTTTATTTTTATATGAATGGCTTCTTGATTGTGCTAAGAACTTTTCAGCACCTCCTCATAGACTTTATTATTTTTGTTTTATAAAAGTCAATTCTCTAAAAGCAAATCTACATAAAGCTTATAAAATAGAAATAAATTCTTATTTTGTTGTTTACAGCCTAAAATTATTATACCATACAACCATTAGTTACAAAATTGGAAGTGATATATTACATGTCCTAATTATAAGGCAACTGTATTGAGTACATTTTTAGATTTTGTAATGGAGTAATGGATAGCAGCTTGGATTGAGAAATCAGAGAGCTGGGTTCGAATTCCAGTCAGATCCATTACATTCACTTATGTGCTAATACCTTTGGGACTTCTTCTCCTCCCAGCTATGGGTAAATAGCAGGATAGACCGTGTTCTATAGCATTAGATGGCAACCTACTCTGGGGAAAAAATCTGCCTTGTCAGTCATGTATCAAAAGATATATAATCGCCTAAGTGTGTATCACATGTGGCACATAACTGAACCCCAGGGAAATAATAGAACAGAAGAAATAAGAAGTTGGCTCTTGTAGTAACATGTAATTTTAATGCTGGTTCAAATGAGTTTTCTAAAATGTCTGAACCAGATTTTACATGCAGAAGTAGGAAATAAATTAAATTTGGGTATGAGGTGTTATTGTAGAGATTAAATCTTAAAGAATGTGTTTGTTCTTGGTGTTGTATTTAAATGAAAAATTGTCCTGCTGAACAATTTAGACATTCTCAATACATTCTTATTGGCCAAGGCTTATGGCCAATAAGAATGTATTGAGAATGTCTAAATTGAAACATCAGTTCCTGTATGATCACCAAAATTATGTAATATCAAGCCTGGTCAGTACCTCGATGGTTAACCACTTGGGAATACCAAGTGCTGTAAGCTTGGTTGTACAGGTGGTGTAATGGATAATGGCTCAGTATTGTTAATTGGAGAGCCAAGCTTCATTTCTCATTGGGTTTGTTATATGCGCAAATGTACTTGAGAAACGTATGAATCCACTTCTTCTCCCTCTGGTTGTGGGTAAGAGTTGTATCATGAAACCATTATTTTCTCAAAAAAAAACCCCTAAAAAACAATGTTGCCTAACTTTGGTGGTCATATGGGAACCAATGTTTCAAATGTAAGCCATTTTTTTAAACATTTAGAAAAAAAAGAATGTCAGTATCGTCCAACAATTATTTTTATTTTTTCTCGTAATTTTCTTAGTTTTATTTTTACTAGAAATGAAAATTTCTCTTTTATTAAAGAGAAGAAAAGTGTGTTAATATAAATTTCTATCTGAATTTCAGGAATGAGAAATTATTATTATTTCCATTTTGATTATTGTCCTTATTTTTAATGTTGCTACTACATTTCAGTCATTGTTCCTTTGTACTAAGGATTGAACTCATGGAACAGTAGCTTAGATAATAGTAATGGTTTGTGAATTTAGTAGCATAGTAATTGAGAGTTCCATTCCTAGGCCGGGTAGTATGGTAACAGGGTGGGCAATAACTGAGCAGCACTAAAAATAAAAGCAAGATGAGATATCCCTAGACATGGACAGTAGAATGAGAACAATCAACCCGTAGATTAAATAAAGTGTTCAGTTTGAAACTCCTTGAAGGTTATCTGGATTGACGTACATCTGAAGAAGGCCAGAGGGCACAATGGCTGAAATGTGATAAGAACAAAGATGAAGATATTTGATAAATATTGTATAAATTCTTTCATTCATTCATTGTGTGTGTGTGTGTGTGTGTATATGTCTTTTATTTTTCTCCCTTTCACCTCTCTTGTAAGAAACTTGCCTCTGATGTCTATATTATTTTATTTTCAGGCTGGAATTCTTTGTATACGTTTCTTCTACCGTCTACAGTACTTCTACAATCACCCACAGAATGTTTCAGTTGAGCTTTTGAAGAACAATCCTTACATGCTTAAAAATTTCCGCAAGATGATTGATGGCTGTGCATTTAAAGTGTATGGCCACTGGGTGAAGAGGGGGGAGAACCAGAACAGAGCTGCTCTATTTGAACATTCTCTCAGGGATGACTGGAAGAATTCTGACCATTGGAGATCTTCAGAATTAGTTCGATAATTCTTCAACACCCATTCCTACCCATCCCGGCCTTCACACATATGACCTCACAAATACACACAGATTTACACTTACTTTTCAGTTTTAGCTATCCGCCCCAGATTTGCTTTTCTTAGATCCCATCAGAAAGTTTTAATAAAATCCGCCCAATGACAGTCTTTTAAGTCTTTTACCCACATATATTTTTTTTTTTTTTATTTCAAATATTCAAATGAGTCGAGCCTCTTCTTTTTCATATACACCTTTCTATATTGGTTTTATATTATTGTCTTTTTTTTAATTTTCCATTTTTGTATTTTTGTATTATTTACTTAAATGTTCACATTATTTTCATAGCTGCAAATGTTTTTCTTTCGAGTTGATGTATGGATGTATCCAATTGTAAAAAAACAATTTTTTTTAATATATAGATTTACTGTTAATATTTAATTATTTATAACAGCACATGTAAAAATGGTCATACAAAGGTAAAAAATAAATTAGAAGTTTTAAACTATTTTAGTATATTTCGAAACACTGTTTTTAGTTAATCCTATTAGAGGAGCAGCAAATCTTAAACAGAATGTATTTTACTGTATATAATGCCAAGTCATAAAAATGTAAAATATGATTTTTTTTTTTTTTTTTTGTATGATAAACTTAATTTCTTTTGTTCTGATGAATTTTAAAAATGAAATTTTTTTGCAATATGGGAAACATTTCTAGATTGACTATCATTTCATAGTTAACAGAATTTTTCTTACCTTTCCCACTATATTTATATAAGAATTTTGATTGTGTGTACAGTATGATTTATCATTTTACTTATAAATTGTAACACTTTCTGATATATTTCTAAACTCTCTTTCTTGAGATATATATATATATATATATATATATATATATATATATATATATATATATTTTTTTTTTTCAACTTATGGTTGGCTTTTACCATTCTTACTAACCTTATAGGTTTGGCGGTACCCACTTTTTCCCTTGTAGTTGTTTTTTCTCCATTGTAAGTTTGGTTGATATATACACTGTGTATATACTGGCTAACTGAGGTTTAGCATCTTAGGTTTGCTGAGGAGAAATGAATACATTTAACACTAGAAACTGTCGTCATTTGCTTGATGATTGAACATTTTAGTGAAACTGTTAGTTGGAACAAACATCATTTTTATGGAATTATATATTAGAGAGTATGGATGAATTATTTTCATTCATCAATTTAAAAGAATGTTATTTGAATATCGGTTTTTAAAAAATTGGTGTAATCATTCATAAGGAATTATTAAAATAAGATGGAAAATTAAAACAGAAATTTACGTTCCTAGGCCCATCAGAAATAATATGAAGAGATGTTGCAGACAAATAAAATAAAACAGGACTATTTAAATTCATTTGGAAGTTAACATTAAAAATTCTTATCACAAAATATAAGTTTTGTTAATTTTACAACAGTTTTTTAGGTGCATGTAAAAATAAGACAAATCTAAAAGAATTGCATTATTCTGAAATGTTATTTATATTTTGATAAACCTTAAAAGTTGTTATGACTGCTTCTGTGATCTGGTGAATTTATTGTTAGTGTGTACTTAGAATAAATTCAATTGTTGATATAGGCCATGTCAATCACAAAAAAATGTCTGGCCTCATTAGATAATTTCTTTCTCTCTTAAACAAATGTAAATTGTAAGTTTTGCAATTAATCCTATATGAATATCATAATTCATTTATATTTTTTCTTGCTTTTTTGATACAAATTCTATCAACTGATTACCGATATTTAGAATAACATTTCTTGGTGATATTTATACACGCATTGATAGATATAGACTTAGATGTGTAGTTTTATACATGTACATATATGTGTTTATGTAATGGTGTGAAACTAACTGTTGTCATGTAGTGTTGATTCCTATGTCCACACTGTGTGCTTGTATAAATGCCCTATCTATGATATTGAGCACTCTTCCCCTATAAATATACCAAATTTTAAACAGTTTGTGTGTGTGTATATATATATATATATATATATATATATATATATATATTGTTGACTTGACTACATGTTTCACCCTCACTAGATAGACTTCTTCAGGTCAGAATCAATGAAATCTGTGTGCCTGTGTGCTTCAATATTAAATGATTATTTTTTTAAATTTTTTTCTAGGCTGGCATGTCTCAGTCAGAATAAAAAAAATATTTCATTCTGATCAAGGGACACTAGTATATATATATATATATATATATATATATATATTTTCAAATGTTAATTTTTAGTGGATACCTGTATTGGAGTTATATGCTCAGTGTTTATTTTGTCTACTGGCCTGTGTACTCAAGTACAGACTACTGTTTAAAACAAATAGTCTCTACTCAAACATGTGTATCCGCTAAAAATAACATTTGAAATAACAAAAATATATCTGGTTAAAATATAAAATTTATTAATTCTGGGGACATGATTTACACTGAGGGCTGGAGCAAGGCGAGGAGACGTGTGCTTGATGGAAAGAAAATAACAAGGCGATATTAGGTGAGTGTCTTCACGTGAATTTGCTGCAATCGAGACTGTCACTCCCATATGGGTCTATACAGTCATAACAGATCCTGCACTGTTGTCAGCACAGGCATAACTCTTTGGGCACAGATCCAAGGTTTCTCAAGACTGACAGCTGCCACACACACACACACACACACACACACACACATAATTTTAATCTTTAAAAAACAAGGAGATGAAGGTAATTCTGAAGATCATTCTAGATAAATTATTAATAAACAAAGTTTGTTTATTTATATCTTTAACATATTTTTAATGCAACTCTAATATGATCTTTGGAATATACATGTGCATATATATGTTCCTGTACACTTCATGAAATTCCTTGTTTGCTTACCATTTATATAATATAGTACAGTATCATAGTGACTTTACTCTTGGCTTGTATACACAAACTTGTCATATTTATAATTATTACCTGTTTCCATTTAAAAATTATCTACATTCCCTTTTTACTTGTAATATTTTAGTTTTTTTTCTTCTAAATAAGTACCTATTAAAACTTACTCATATTTTATTCATCTCGTCATTTTGCTGTAAAGCAGTGTTTTGATACTTTTAATATTTTTTTTTTTCCTGTTAGCACGATGGATTTTTTCATGTATTTTTCCAGGGTTACAGAATGTAACAATATTAGATAATCTTCATTCAGGTAGTCAAGTAATTAAAAAACATTAAAACAATGAGTTACGTCCCCTTACATGTATCTGCAATAATCTACCAGTTTTAACAGTAATAAATCGGAAGGTTCTCTGAAATTCATAACATCCAAATTATTACCTTAGTGTTAGTAAATATTATTGTAAAGCATTGATTCACTTGACCTTTTTTGAAAGTGAAGCTGTGGTTTGTTGTAAAAGTTTTTATATAAGTAAGTGATGTAATGGAATAACCTGTCACCCCATGAGTGACTATAAGTATCTGTAAGTCAATGACTAGCTGGGATCTGTTGAGTACGACTCACTTATGTGAGAACTACTGACCTTCCAATAGTAGCACTCACTACCGGATTGACTCGCGACGACCTTGTGCATAGCTGTTACCTTTATTCTTATTGTATTGGTTTTTACAATAAACCTTTACTTATTTTATCCGCTGTGTTTTCAAGTATATATTCCTATTAGCATGGAATAATAGTAATAAAAAAAAAAAAACTTTTGTAAATTTCTTCCATAGAAAGAAAGTTAACATTACAACAGTAAATTAAGGGAAGATCACTTGCTAAATTATTTTAGCCTCATGTATGTCTTAGAAAATGCATTTTTCTATTTTAATTTTTTCTTTAAGTGGTAATAAATTTTATAGTGCATCCATTTTCTGATACTCTTATTTGTAATTTCAATACTGAAACTTCTCATTGTTTATTTTTAAATATGGTAGCCATTATTTTTACTAGTAAAATATCAAGTATGTCATTATTTTTCAAGACAGAAATTTGATAAGAGATATAGTTATGTATTTAAGCATTTTGTGATTAACTGGTAATTTTCTTTTTAAAAAATTAGTAAATTAAAGCATAGCTATTAAAATTTTACAGGAAGTAAAAAAAAAAAAATAATGCTAATGTTTAGAAATAAAATTTTGAAATGATTTGTAGGATTCATTTTATTTTATATTTGATTTCATTTTTAAAAATTACACTACAAAGAAATCTTTTAATGACTCTACTCAAAGTTATAGACAATACATTTTAAACAAGTATCAAATGCAAACAGTATCTGCAAAATCATTTTTTTAATTTTTAATAAAAATAAATGTGCTTTAAAATTATAAATAAACAATATTTTCACTTAGTTTTAATTAAGTATGCATATATTATCAATTTTTGACTAACTTTTCTATTTTATTTTTGTTGCTTTTTTTCTTTATCACAATTCTCAGGTTGATATTCTAAACTGTTAAAATTACATACTACAAATGTAAATAAATATGGTGACATTGGAAAAGAATATAGCTACATGATTAAACTTGAATGAGTTCTACTCAGAGGTCATGGCCTAATTGATAAGATACTGTCATGATAAAACAAGATGACAAAGATAAGAGATGCAAGTTCAAATCTTGCTGGGAGCTTATTTCGGATCTGTGTTATTAACGTTCATTGGGAGTTGCAATAAAAAAAGCAACAGAAATAAGTTGAAAGAAATACTGTTAAAAAATTACAAAGGACAATACTTCATTCAAAGTAATTCAAAAGATTTATATTTGGTATTAAATTTATTTTATCTAGTGAATTACAGTCATGAGAAGTGAATTAGTTTAAGTTGTTTTTTCTGTATGTATTTTTTAAAATTCTCGGTAGTTGAGAAAACTCAATAATATAGAATATGTGTTCCATGAAGGCACCTTGTACATTGTATATACTTTCCTGTTATTTTTTTTTAAATTTTTATTTATTCAAATACTCTTTCTGCTTTAAAACTATTAATGTGTATTTTGGAGATTTTAAGTTTTTGATAATTTTATTTATTTTTATTTTTTTTTTTTTGGTAGTGGTTGATTCTCATGTTTAAAATTATACCTGTGTAACTTCAAATTTCTGCATATTTAAATTGTATATAAAGCTTCCGTCTATAAGAGAGTATAATTGCAGCTGATTTATTGATAACAACAAAAGGATGATTTAGTTATTTTTTCTCCAAGTAAATAAAAAATTCACTAGGTGTATCTTTTAAAAGTTGAATATTGATGTATTTTTTAACTTTTGCATTGGTAATAAGACGACTTGTTATTAGACAAAAATTTGGTTCTACAATTTTTTTAGTTAAAGTAGTTATGATTATTTATTTTTTTAATCATTTTGATCTTTTTGGCTACAGAAAAAAATCATATTTTAAATTTCTCAGATATTATATCTTATAAATTATGTGCAAAAACGAAAATTCTAACTTTTAAGTTTATACATTTTAATTACTTTAATTACTTTAAGTTCTTTTGTCTATTGTGAAAAGAAACTTTACTGTATTTTATTTTTTTAACCAACAAAAATGTTAATGCTTCCAATATATAAGTGTATGTTGCTTTACATCAATCAAGTATCCATAAATGTAGAATATCTTTTTTAGAGGCTTATAGCCACATCATGTTGAAACGTTAGTTCCCTGTGTGATCACCAAAGTTAAGCAACATTGAGCCTGGTTAGTACCTAGATGGGTGACCACTTGGGAATATCAGGTGCTGTAAGCTTGGATGTGTGGTTGGTGTAATGGATAATGCCTCAGAATTGTTAATCAGAGAGCTGAGTTCTAATTCCAGTTGGGTTCTTTATATTCACTTGGGAAAGGTATAAATTCACCTCTTCCTCCCCCAGATATGGGTTAATTAGTATGACTTGCATCACTAAAAACATTATCTCAAAAGTAAAAATAAAATAAAATTGCATACAAAATATTAAAATTTCAGCATTAAATAACACATTGAGGTGTTGATATGCAGCTAAACAAAACAAACCAAATATCTTTTTAAAAGTTTTCAAGGCTGAACTATTTTATAATCATGTTTCAATTTACAGTTCTACTTTTAACAAATGTGAAATTTGGGGCTCTTTTTTTTTTCTTTTTATTATTCATGGGTGAGTCAAGTCTCATCAAATTTAATTTATTGATTAAAACCCAGGAATGGTTTAGCAAGACTTAGTCTTTCATTCCCTTTTAGCCTTAAAAGTATCTGCAATATCTCTCAGCATGGTGATAAGACTGTTGTTGAGCAACATTTAAGTTTAAGGTGTTTTTATGTCCCAACAGAGTAGTCTGTACATCTCTTTTGTAAAGGCTAAACATATAAACAGTTCACTAAAGGCTAAACATATAAACAGTTCATAATATTGTTATGTGTGTTTTAGTATTTTAAGACCTTGCAAATTCTTTCATATTTTAAACATTCCACTTAAATTTAGTATCAATATCTTTTTGTATAAAAGAATAAATTAGTGCCTATATATATATATATATATATATATATATGACTTGCAGTGAGGGAAAATATTCAAACTGCCATTTTGGCTTTTGGGAAATAAAGTAAAATTTTTGCTATATCTATTTAAAATAATTTTATCCCGGTGTTTACATTTAAATATGAGGATTTAATCATGGTTTTAATATATGTCTGGTCTTTATCTGTTCTCTTCAAATGTGGGCTTTCTTTTTGTGTGTTTTGTTTCTTCATGTTAATCATCCTTATGGTATTTGCTCCTCTCTACAGAATCACTTTTTGAAAAAATTTATTTATTTTTTCTTTTATGCTCTTAAAATGAATAGTTTTAAATGTAATCTTTTCCATAATTTTTTTTTTTAAATCAACGAAATAATTTAAGTATTTTTTTATTTTGTTTTTATTTTTTGGCATGACCGAAAGGTATCAAAGATAGCAAATTGGAATTTTTAAAATGAATTTATAATTTTGTTTCTTACAAAAAAAAATAATAAAAAAATGGTAAAAATACACTTATATAACTTGATTTTTCGATTGATGTCTTGAATTAGCATTTTCATCGCAAATATTTTCGGATTTTTACATTAATATTACCTTGCATCTTTATATTTTTTGATAAAATGTTTTCTAAATTTTGTACATATTATAAGCAAAATTTAGAATTGTGAAAAATCTGTTTATAAATATGAAAAAGATATTTTGGTATATTATATAAATAATATTAATAGTTATGTTAATAACTTTTTCTTTTTCTAGAGATAGTTGTTTGCTTACTTTGGACATTTGAATTCCTCCTTTATCTCTGTTACTACATTTTGGTTAGTCACTTAAAGAATCTTTTTTTTTGTTTTATTTTTTTTTTTTAAGGTTCTGATTCATAAAGAATGAGCAGAATCTCTCTCTCAATCTTTTTATTCAATTTTTTTGCTCTCATACAAAATAAGAGATGGACAGAATTGATTATAATATACAAAGGGGATCAGTTCAATCACCTGAGTGGCACATATATATAAAGTGGAATGATATCTGTATCATTTTTCTTTGGTTATAAGAACAAAAGAAAAATAAATAAAAAAGATTAAAAAATTCAAACAAATATCTTGAAGATTGGTAGACATTATCTAGGAGAAAAAAAATGCATTTTCTTTATGAATTTTACCCAAAGAAAGCTGCAGAATGCATTGGCTGAAATACTGTTGTAGCAATTTAAGGAGTTCATTTGTCCAAACAAAGCTTGGCATGTTAACCCCCTTTTAAAAGTTTTAGAAAATAAGTTTATTTTTTGAATTTCTATCAGATTAAATTAAAAGAAATTGAAGTTTAATGATAAAATAATTAACATAAGATTGAAAAAAAAATGTAATATTTTAAGTAATAAGTAATAATTATTATATTTGCAATAACAAGCTGTAGATATATGCAAACCTTAGCTTGGCATTGGGCCATAATATTAGGACACCTAGTGAAGGTGGAGCTAATTAAACTAAGATTTGGTCTGTGATACTATACTGCTAACCATTTCTCTACAGCAAGTATTTTAGTAATAACAATATGTATTCCCAAAAAATAATATATATTAAAATAAATATAATTGAGCAATTATAAAATTTTAATGACTGTTTTAATCTTCTTATATATTATGTAAATTGGTTTTTACCCATAATGTAACTATTAGCTGTGCTAGAATTATCTCCCTTCTCATGGACTATTTTATTTATATAACTTGCACGTGAAAACCTAATAATAGTAATGATTTTACCCATCTCATAAAAAAGTGACATTTTGATAACTCGTAATTGTAATATTAATTTTTTTTAAAGAACTAATTTGATAAGAAATATAATAATTTATACTATTGGAATTCATTTCTTATTGTAATTTAGTCTTTAATAATGTCTGTTCATTGAAAATTTTATAAATAACTTTGAAAATTACTGAGAGAGACTCAATAGCTAATATGAAATGCTTTAATAAAATTGAATGACTTAACATTTCTGCTAAGGTAAGATAATGTTCTTCTACATAAAGCCAGTTTTAATTATTTTGTTTCTATAATAATTAAAGTAGTATTTGTAAATTAGATGCTATTAGTACTAATTCACTTTTTTCTAGTATAAATGTTAATTAGAAAACTTTTATTGGAAAAATGAAAAGCAAAAATCTAATAAAATTATTAGTAGCAGCAATTATAATCTGATAAAATATAGTGTACAAAATTAGTTTTAACTTTCTTGAAATTCAATGTTTATTATATTTTGCTATTTTTAATTATATTGTCAAGACAGCAATGTTTAACCTATGTGCCCACAAAAATTAATGGTGTCAAAAGCATGGCTATTCCTGTATACACTTTTGAACCCCTTGACAATGTTTATTTACAAAATATATAAGTATAGAATCCAAGTACGATGCAATATTTATTATTTGCCTTTTAAAGATTTATTTACCATTTTATAAAGAAGTAAATTTGAAAAATCTTTTTATTCAAAAATTTATATAAAATTACAAAATATGTAAACCAGCTACAAAGCAATATTTATCATTTACCATTTTATAAATAATTATGAAAACAAGTTTTTTATGTAATTTCATAAATAAATAGTGTTTAATATCTTTGTTAATTCTCATGAATAAAGAAAATGTATAAATCCATTTTCATATGTTTGGAGTTTATTAAAATTCTAATCATTGCTTTTTAAAAACAAACATTGCCAAGGGAATTAAAAGTGTATTAATAGTGGTGTTAATGAAATAACTGTCATTTTGACAGATATGAAGATTAAACATTGCTGTCAAGACAATGTATATACTTCCAAAAATAAGGTGAAGATATTAATTTTCTTTCCTTTGTATGTTAATTTACACTTATGAAAATATGCAGTAAAATTAACTGAAAATTAGACAATAATAATTAAAATATTTTTATTAAAAAATTAATATATAACAAAAGAATGTGGACTAGCTGAAAGGTAGACTTTAATGATATTTAATTTCAAAATTATTGACATGTGGTTCTTTGGCAAGAGAATTTATTTTGGGATTATTCAGATTTTAAACTATTAATTTTGGGCTACTAATTATTCCTGTTATTATGATCTTATAATTTTGTAACTATCTTTTATTAAAGTTTTCAAAGCAAAAATTTTATCTTGCCACTGCAAGTGACTCAGATGAATGAATGATAGCATGTTTAGATTTTACTGTTGTGTTGTCATATCCTGCTATGGCAACAGAAAATGACCATGACTGAAATTAAGTAGTACAGTAGAGTTGCCTTGAAAAACAATGCAGTGGAAAGGAAAGTAGTGAATAATGCAGTGTGTTGAAGGTTAATTTTAATTTTTAGATTAACAGACATTTCTTTTGAGTTGGACTGGATCCAGAATTTGATACAGTACTGATTCCTAAGGGAATGAGTGGTATAACATTGCAACTAAGAGTTTTTCATTTGAAGGCAGTTTTCTATTTTGGCTTGGTTGGAAATTGACTAAAAGAATAAAAAAACATCTCTGGGGTCTTCAGTCAAACAAAAAATAATGGAATTTGTTCTTGACTATATGTAGATAGTTGATTCCATTATTTTTAAAATTTTTAAATGAGATTTAACAAAAAACAAGTACTTACTGATGAGGTCTCACCTCATCCTCTAAGTCAATCTCTGTCATAAAAAAAAACAAAACAATGATTTTAATATAATTTCTGATTTACAGAATTCTGACTTTTCCTCTTAGTGCAAATATATTTAGCAACTGCATAAGTAACAGAAAATAATTTTTAACTTATGCTTTACTTGCATTCTTTTAATTCCTAAAAACAAATATCAAAAGATAATTTTTTCAAACTAAAAGCATGAAATGAATATCAATTTATGACAACTATTATTAAAATTGCTTCTGTTTTATTATAAAGATATTTTCTTTTTTTCATGGTATTGAAAAAAAGAAGTAAAAGATATGTTTTTCTTGTCATTTTACTGCTGATAGATAAAAATAGTTCTTTCTTGGTATCTTTTGAAAAATTTCCACTTTATTAACATTCGCTTAGATATTTGTTTCATATTTGCTTTTAATATCAAAATGACTGTTAACACAGTCAAAATTTGTATTTGAGAAAAATAATGATGGCAAAAGCGGTTAAGAGGATTTAACACCCACTATCAATTTCTTCTTGTTAGGAAATGATAGTCGCTACAATTGTTCTCTCAATTATATTTTCTCAATAATGAAACTGTTCATGGCTACTTCTGTTCACTGTCTGAAAGCCTTTTATCTTCTTAAATTGTTCTTTATACTCTCTCTTATTTAGTCCTTCTTTTTGAAAAAAAAAAAAAAAGCCTCAAGATCTTTTTTAAAATAAATCAGGATTTTAAGGGAAGGGTTCTGTAGCAGTTCTATATTGAACCATCAAAAGATCACCCAACCAGTCCAGTCAGATATCTAAATTTAATAAATAGAAATCTGATAAAACTGAAAAGCTTCTTGGTTTGTGGTGAGCAGGTTCTGGTATCACAACTCCAACTTGACAAGATATTTTAAAAATGGAACTAAAGATAGAAACTCTTAAATTCTTTTATTTTATAGATACTGTTTTACTAAAGGAAAGTTTGTATTTTTAAAATCAAGTTTTAAACTTAGATTACTTCTAAGACATTTTTGAAGTTAATTTTGTTAACAGATAAATGCATTGTGTTTTTTTTTTTATTAATTTAAACTGATAATTTTGTTTGAAAAAAGAGTTTTTTAAGACAAATCATGTATATATTTTAAAATAAGATAAAATAACTTTAAAACTTATGCATTTACATCAGATTTAAGTTTCCAAACACAAATTAATTATAATGGTTAAGATAATCTGGAATTAATTACAGGTTTCAAATCCAATATTATAGTTTTCTACCTATGAATAGGATGGTGGTTATTAAAAACCGCCATTCTATTTTTGGGTCAGTAGACATTAATGGGTTAAGATCATATAACATGTAAGCTGTGTGCTAAAGCTATGATTGTTAAATGGAGGTGACTATTGTATTTTGGTTAGAGAAAAATGAGCATTAATTAAAAAGAATTGGTACAAAGAAAAAAACAGTATTTTTGTAATACTAAGGATCTATCAATTATGAACAGTATTAGTTTTATTTTACTTTTAGGAAAGGTAAAACTTTTGACATTAACATTTTCTTATATAACTTTTCCTTTTGTAATACATTTATTTTAATAGATTTCCTAACTATACATGAAATAATTTGTCCACATATCCCTATCCTATTTATGCTATTTATATTTGGACTGTTGTCTACATCTTTGTTGTCATCACAGTGTTTGTCATTGTACCCTCAGGCTTTCATCAGGTGTATATTGACCTGGGTAACCTACAAGGAATTCTGAACTGAACCCTTTATTTAATTTCCCTATGAGGGTAGACTGTTGAAACTAAACCCTTTATTTAATTTACTGAGGTAGGCTGGTGAATTTGGTGACATAGTAATTGTGAGTTCAATCCCTGGGCCAGGCAGTTTGTACTTGTACTCAGTGGAACATGGGCAAGCAATAACTAAGCAGTACTAAAAATAAGAACTAGACTAGATTATCTTTAAACATAGGCAGTGGAATGAGAACAGTCTACTTTGTAGAATTTGCTGTAGGTTATATATATACATCTGATGATAGCTGGATGGCACAATGGTTAAAACATTGTGATAACAAAGATAATAGTCCAAATGTAAATAATAACTTATCTTGAAAATTAAGCCAGAAAACATCCCTATCTTGTAGGTTAAAAGTTTTGTTTTTTTACTATCCACTTCTAGATAGATTCTAGTCACTTTCTATTTTGAAAATCTTTTACAAGTTGTAGATGTTTGTAAATGATAAAAGTTGATGAATTGAAAGGTAAATTTACATAGGTAAATTATTTTTTACTATTTTCTTTTAATTTATGAATGGTGAGCTCCAGCATCTCTAAAAGTTTTTGCCTCTTAGAGAGCTGTTTGATGACTCCCAGAATTTTGTTTTAAAAATTAATAGATTCAAGATATTGGTTTAATTTCATTGCATTATTTTTAAATCATTCTATGAGAAACTTTTGCCACTGTAACTATTAGACTGTAACAACCAAATCCAGTGGCAATTGGTACTTTCAGTACTGATAACATAATGAATTTGTTAGAAGTATGGAATTTTCAATTAGTAATTTTTTCTTTTTTGACTGACCATCTTTGTATAAATATATAAAAAAAGAGACCTATCATATCTTATCACCTTTCGAGAAGATAACCCAAAACTTGAACTATTTTTTTAATTTGTTATTAAAACTGTTAAAATGAATTTAAACCAAAAAACAAAAACAAAAAAAAACATCTGTAAAGTTTTATATATTTATTTTTTTTTGTTTTTGGTTTATATTCACAAGACTATTTTTAGATTTTATAAAATATTGAAATATTGACGGTGATTTATGTCAGGTTACTATGTTTGATTTTGATTTTTATCCTAGAGAACTGTTTGATGACTCCCAGAGTTTTATTTTGAACTTAGAATCATTATCTTTTAAACAATTCATAGTTCTGTGCCCAAAATTTAAACAGAAACAAAAGGCATGTGAGTTTGGTAGACTTTTGCTATTGGCTAGTTTAATGAAATAATTTAAAGAAAAAATAAAATATTAAAAAAAATTAAGATATAATTATTCAAAAGGGGGAAAATATAAGGAAATATATGCTAAAAGTAAAAAGTTGTTTGATCAAAGATAATTCTATTGGTTTTTGTTTCATTTTTCTTTTATACTTAACTAAATCCAGTGACTTGGTAATTTATTTGGAATAAATGAATGTATCATTTTAACTAGTAATATAGATAATCAGATTATAAATCAGATAAAAACATTGAAATGCTTTCAGGTTTAGTTCTGTTATAGTACATCTGTATTTAGGTATAATTTTGATAATCTAAAAAGGAATATAATAAATACTCCAGAAAAATAATTTAAAGAATTTTTTTAAAATTCAAGTTTAGCCATTGTTATCAAAATATGCATTCTGAGATGAAAATGAATAAATAATTTTATAGTGAAGTACATTTTTTATCAGCTAAAATATATTAAAAAGTTGACTATTTTTTCTTTTTTTATTTAAACATATTACTAAAATAGTTATTGGATAAATTTAAGCTATATTATTAAACAGTAAGTACTTAAAATAAGATGTAAATGTTATGTAATTTGTATAAAATTAAACAAAAAAAGTGTTGTGGTGAAATTGTTAAAGAATCAAGACCATATTTTTTGTTGGACTATCATGTTTCCATTTATTGTGTGAAATGTCAAAACAATATCTGCTCATTTTGTTTCACAATCTGTGTCATTTGTAATTTGGAGAATGTAGTTTTTTTGTAGAATTTCACATGATTAAAGGTCATGATGAATGTTTTTTCTATAATTTGTAAAATGTATTTTTTAGAATTTCATCTCAAATATTTTTTATTATAATTTCTGGAATATATCTTTTTTCTTCTTCCTTTTTTTCTTCTTCCTTTTTTTCTTCTTCCTTTTTTTCTTCTTCCTTTTTTTCTTCTTCCTTTTTTTCTTCTTCCTTTTTTTTCTTTTTCCTTTTTCTTTTTCCTTTTTTTTTTTCTTCTTTTTTTTCTTCTTCCTTTTTTTTCTTCTTCCTTTTTTCTTCTTCCTTTTTCTTCTTCCTTTTTTTCTTCTTCCTTTTTTTCTTCTTCCTTTTTTCTTTTTTCCTTTTTTTTTTTCTTCTTTTTTCTTCTTCCTTTTTTTCTTCTTCCTTTTTTTCTTCTTCCTTTTTTTCTTCTTCCTTTTTTTCTTCTTCCTTTTTTTCTTCTTCCTTTTTTTCTTCTTCCTTTTTTTCTTCTTCCTTTTTTTCTTCTTCCTTTTTTTCTTCTTCCTTTTTTTCTTCTTCCTTTTTTTCTTCTTCCTATTTTTTTAAAAAAATTGCTTGGATGACAGCTGATGTTTATATTTTCATCTTTTGTCCACATTATTTCCAAGAAATGTAACTGTGTTTATTTCTTTTTTTAAAACTTATGGGATTTTAACCCTTCCATAATATTACAAATATGCATAAAAAATTACACTGCATTGTCTTTCAACTATTATAAAATGAATATTTAAAAGCATATTGTAAAATGTTTATAAATACTCTTTATTTGCACCAGTAATAATATTGAGTTACTCTTTTAATGCATCTGGAAGAAGTTATTTGTTCTTGTGAAAATTAATTTATTATTTGTACAGAGTGTGGTAAAAATATCTCCCACATAATGGTAAGACATTAGTGGCAATGATGTCTTCATCTAGCTAATGTCTTACCATTATGTAGGAGGTATTTCTGCTGCATTCTGTATATAGCAAATTTAAATTTAGGATTAATTTGGTTACAAAAGGTTCTAGGATACTGATATTAATTTTATATTTATTAGAAAAAATAATAAAACTAAATTAAATGAAGATAAGTAGAGATAAAATATTTTTACCAATTATAATTCATAGTAACAATATGAAAGTATACATAATAATTTTTATTTAAGTCATTTATTATTCTAAAATGGTAAATATATCTTGTATAAGCAGTAGAATTGTATGTAATTAACTGAAATTTTAACTGAACAAAAGATTAGAAAAAGTATTTTTTAAGTAGACTTAAATGTAAGTTTTATTTTGAAGTATTTTATAACAGGGTCTCTTGACCATCATCATAAGTTTATGGCTGTAAAAGACAAATTTGATTTTTTGCATATCTAGAAATTAAAAAAAGATTTTCTTTAGAGAGAAAAAATTCTTTTGAAAACCAAACCTGTTTTTAAAATAAACAGAAATGTTATTTTTTTTATATTTAAGTAAAGTAGGCCTTTACATGTGGATTAAATTGTTTAATTTAAATTTTTTAAAAAAACTTAACTAATAAAAATTGACTACATTTGCCATAAATAATTGCTGTTGGAAGTAACTGGTATTATGGTTTACTGATATTTATAATTCATAGTAGTTTCTTTTATATTTGTTCTTACATAAACTGCTTAACTTTAACATTCTACTTTAAAGTTTTTCCTTTGAACAAGAATTCCTGTTTTGGTTTTCATGAATATAACTCTTTATAGTATTCTTTCCTTTTTCTCTTGATAACATAAATGAATTTCTTTCTTAGATCACTATATCCTGAAAAACCTGAATTAATACAAAATTGATTAAATGCAGTACCTTGGTTTAGAATTTTAATCTGGAATACCTACTCTGAAACTTAGTTTAGTCTTTGTAGATAGTAAAAATTTGGTAATTTTTGCCTTTTTGCCAACTTTGACATGTACATATTCAATACTAACTACGAATATACATAGTTGAATTAGTTTGTGTGTGTATCTCATTTGTTAGATATTAGCTCTTTTTTTACTAATTGAATTAAAGTACAATCTTTAAGTATTATCATCTGGATTTTCTTTCTCATCTCTTTTTAGTAGTACACTCTACCTCGAGTGGCTCTTTGGCCTTGTACAGGATAAACATCATTGTGAAAAAAATATATGGTGTGTCCAGGCGGAGTAAACATTGAATATAGGTAGTTAAATTGGCAAATTTGAATTTCAACCAGACTATCTAAGTTGGTAAAAATATTTTTAAAACTAAGGTGTTACATGGGATGTTTACTGTGGCTGTTGATTCAAATTTCGCCATTGACTATTTTTTTTGATGTTTAAATTTATTATGTAGATTGTTGCAAAAAATAAAAGGAAATAGTTTTGACTAAAACTGTTTTATTTAAAATAGAAGTCAAGATTAAAATGGGTGGATAGCTTAATTTATTATTTTGCTTTAAAAAAAAAAAATAAAAAAGTGGAAAAATAAAAATAATTCCCCTGCCCCTCTCAAGAATAAACATGGTGATAATTCCAAAAATTCCTTTTGAATAATGATTTATATATACTTTGTGTGTGTGTAAGATATTTTTTTCCTTTTTTTACCTGGCAACATATTCTGAATATGCATCTTTTTAATCTTTCAAAAGATTAAAATTTATCAAAAATCAAATATTAAAAGAAAATTGAAAGTATGAAATTTCATGAAAACAAAATAACTCAAAAGCAATAGCACTGAAGAATCTTTTGTTAGAGGAAACAGAAATGCTTTGTTAAATAACCACCAAGTTTAAATTACATTTTGTGGGTTATTTTAAAATTTTCTTTTTGTTCTGAAATGTGTTTTTGTTTTCTTAAACCCATGAAAGACTTTAAAAAAACTGATAATATGAGGCTTGGTTTAAAAAAAAAAAATACGGTTTAAAAAAAATGCAGTTTTAAATCTTTAACAAACTGCAACTTTATTCTTTTGATTGTTCTTATTTATTTGTTTAATTTATTTTTTTAAAATTCCTCCCCCAAAAACCCCCTCCTCGCCATTCATAAAACTTAGCTGGGATAATGGAGTAGAAAAAAAAAAAGAAAAAGTTTCATTGATTTTATTATCAGTTCAATTTTTGTTGAATCTTAACTGAAAATATTTTCTTTTTTTCACTATTTTGTCCCTTTCATATTTTTTGTTTTTTGACGTTTTTTTTCTTTTTATAATTTATTTTAATTATTTTTTTTTTTTTTTGTCTCAACAGGATTTTTTATTGCGAATTTTCAATATGTTGGCAGTTTTTTGATAATCAAAAAAACAAAAACAAAAAAAAATCATTTGACATGTTATATGGATTTAATTTGTCCTTCTATAATATGCAATAAAGTTATTCATTGGAAAAAAAAACAAACCCTGTTTTAATGTCTTATATATTATAAAAGAGGAACCGACAGAAAGTTGGTTACAGACTGCGTGTGACTTTGCATGGGAATATTTAATGTATATGTGTGTCTGTTATGCATGAATTACTTACTTTATGTACACACACACACACACACACACACTGAAATAAGACATTTGAATAATACTGGTGCTTTGCTATTCATCTTGAGGTTTTTGAAAAAATTCAAAGGATCTGCAATGTAATCGATCCTGACTTGGCATTCTGACTTCAATCACTTTTTCACAGACGTGGTATGACTTCCTTTTGTCTACCAATGTTTTCATGGCAACTGTTCTGACAAGTTTTTTCCCTGGATGCTCTATGTGAATTTAAGTGTGCTACTAGATTGGCATCTAGGTCCCACCCATTTAATGTTGAAATAGTTAAATGCAACTGCCACTTCTACTCCAACAGTTTCTTTTCTGGCATTTCCCACCTGTGGAACTCCCATTTACTTGCTTCCCTGATAACTACAATCTTCAAAAAATTAAATGCAATGTCAATGGCCATCTTCTATCTTCTTGAATCCTGTCCATCTTTTGTCCTTTCCAAAATCCTTCTTGTACTCAGTCTTTTCTCTCATTTTCACACCCGTTAACCCCCCCCCCGCCTCCTGTGTAGTAGTGACATTTATACCTTGCTTGGGATGAAATGATTAAAAAAAAAATACATTCCACTCTCACTCAGTTTGGACAACTACCCTGGTTAAAACAATAACTTCATAAAGTAGAAGAAAAAGAAGAAACTCAATTTTTTTAAACCTTAAAAAATTAGATATTGTTTTAGTGGACTTTTCAGAAATTATTTGTTAATAAATAAAATTATTAAAAAATATTTTAAAAATTTTGCAGAAATATTTTTAAGTCTGTCATGGATTTAAAATATACATGTACACATGCAGAGTATACATACACACAATTTGAATGAAATTGAAATGGACATCTATCTCACAAGGGCTCTTTTTTCCTTTCTGTCTATCAACACTAGTATCTTGATTTCTTTTGAGTCGTCTATTAGACAGGAACCTCCTATTCACAAGACTTCTCTCTTACAACTTCTCTGTTATCAGCATGCTGATTGGGATTCATTCCATGACTTTCTTCGTGATGCTCCTTGGAGTGAAATTTTAAACCTTCATATTGACAATTGTGCCACCGGTTTCTTTTTGGGAAGAAGTTGGCATCGATGCTTTTGTGCCTTCTTCAAAATACCAGGTAAATCCATAATCATCTTGGTTCACTCTTATTTAGCTATTATAACCCACAGAAATCACTTTTTCCAGCTATAACAATGTGATAGTACCGATGACAACAGATGCCACTTTGTGTCTACTTTTAAAGGTGTCTTCAAAGAGGCTAAGTCTTTGTTTGCTGACAGATTGAGGCACTGTACAACCTGTAATAAGTTTGGTTCAGGTGACTACTGTCAGTTCTGTAATAGTATGTTAAGTAAATTTTAAATCCGTCCTCTCTTCATTCACTTTGTGGTATTATCATTTTCCGCTGATAAACCAGAATGTTTTGCATGTAAATTTTCTTCTAATTTTACTATTGACTCATCTTTGCCTGACTTAGAAACTTATCTCTAAACTGGATCCCCGCAAAGCATATGGACTCTATGGTATCTCTGCAATAGTCCTTGAGAAATGTACTCCTTAATTGACTACTCTTCTCTCTAAACTTTACAATAAATACATTGCTTTCCAGCTTGTTGGAATTGGCAGCTGATCTAAAAATGACCTTACACCTAGTTGTTAACTTGTTAATTTGAACACCTCCAAAAAGAAACTACTCTTTTAACCATCTTAAAAATGATGCCAACCTCCAACACTTTCTCAGGTTAACGTTTTCAGCTGAGATGAAGTTGAAAGACTATATTGAATAAATTGCTAGGAATCCTGCTTGGAAAGTTGGTTTACTGTGTCATGCTAGACAATTTTCATTGCTTGAATCTATTTTACATATTTATAAGTCTAACATTCGTCCATGCTATCACATCTGGTCTGGTGCTTCTGCTATGTATTTAGAGATTCTTGATAAAATATTAAGAATCGGCAACGTTATCGGTCTTGACATGGCATGTTGGCTTCAGTCATTCTTAGTACCGTAATATAATTTTCTTGTTTTGATGAGCATTCCTCTATGGTACCA